TTGTCATGCAGTCAGCCTTCGAAGGAAGTTTAGAAGTCAAACTTCCGACAATATGGGCAGATGAAAAGTGCAGAGATGGGCAGAGGCAGAGAGAAGAGGAGAGTAGAAGAAAGAAGATCAGGAAAGAGAAAGAGTCAGGAGAAAGAAGATGGAGATGCGAGAAAAGGTAAGAAAGTCACGAAACACTGTGTTTTTCTAATGATTTGTGGCTCGCTAAAGCGACGGGTGCGGAGCCATCTGGCCAGATGATAGATGAAAAAAATCACGAAGCACATTTCCAAGTCAAAGTCTATTTGTATTAGTTGGTTTGTCACACACCGAGTAGTTAGTTTGTCAGATAGTGGCTGCATGTCACAAAGTGACTGTTCGGTTTGTGCCTAAGTGATCCCAAAGCTTGTCACAGTCTGCTGCTGGTTGGTCACATAATGCGTCTTTGACTTGCTGACAACGCACCGGCAGCTTGTAAGAGCGCGACTTGTTGCACAAGAGTTTGTTTTGCTTCTCACCAATGCGGGCAGATAGCTTGTCACACAGCGACTTGTTAGTTTGTCAGATAGTACCTGCATAGTTTGTCACACAGTGACTGTTCTGTTTGTGCTTCAGCCCTTTGGTTGGTGACATAACTCATTGCCATGTCACTGGAATGATGATTAGCATATAAAGAATTATCCCAAAAAAACCCAAAAAACTTCTGATTTGAGCATTAGCCAGATGAATGCCTCATTTTCAAATTCTCATGTTTGTCAAACCGTTTCAGATGCTGCATTGCCCATCCAGAAGCCCCGAGTTTCATATCAAAGGTGTCTCAGCGAAACAAACTCATGACCCCTGATGAGTTTGGTGGCAAGGTCCCAGAAGTGTTCTCAAACAAAAGTACAAAAACTGTTCCTCGGTCCTTGAAACGTGCAAAAATTGTTGCTACCTATTGCTACCTATTGCTACCTATTGCTACCTCCTTCAGTGTAGCTGGGTTTCCTTCCACGATTGCATTGCAGCGGCCACGACTCGGTCAGAGTGGTGTTTTGCCTGGTGCTTTTTTGGATCTGACATACCACAATGGTCGATGTCATTGTGAGTATCAAGTTGCAAGCCATGTCATAGACGCATGCGATGTTGCGATCTTGGAATTCGTAAAAATACTGTAGTACCCAATCTATTCGTAAATTGGTGATGTTTGGTGAGCTTCCCACATTGCATCGACCACTATTTTTGAACCATATTGTCCCGAGTAGCTTTGCATCGTAAGGGTGAGGACCCTTGAGTTGCACAGCCTTGCTGAGTGGTCCAAGAAATCAGTGTTTGATTTGGCTTGGAAAAATCAGCGAATGCGCATCAGAGAATTGGATAGTGCAAACAATTAGCGAACTATCAACTTGTTCAGCTTGTTCCCCGGATTTTCACTTCGGGATAAAGATGACAAAGATGATTGATGATTGATGCGGTGTGACAGAGAAATCTATATGTGGATATTGATTAATAATGTATATACATACGGCCGTACACACACACATACATGTACAATTATATGCACATACTTATACCTTTTGTTCTAGGAAACTCGTTTAGAAATATGTTTGAGGTTGTCAACAATGAGGCCTTCGGCACTAGGCTCCTAGCCTGTCACACAATGAGGCCTTAGATTGTCACACAGTGAGCCCCTAGCTTGTCATATAGTCAGTCCTTAGGTCGTCACACAGTGAGCTCTTTGCTTGTCATGCATTGTCACACAGTGACAGGCAGTCGCGGCCGGCCAGTCTGCCTGCCAGTTTGCTCAGCAGTCTGTACTTCTCTTGTCGCACAGTCAGTCTTCAGGTTGTCACAAAGTGGCTCTAGGGACTGTCACACAGTGACTGTAAGGTTTTTGTCCTTCCTTTGATTTTATTCGCATTTAACAGTTTATTTTTCGCAATTAAAAGTTTTTTTTTCGCAATTAGACATCCGGTTTCTTTCGCATTTAAACCGTACTCTGTTGACAAGAGCTGCCAAGCCTTCATTCCCTTTGGGCCGCGGCTGTATGTTACTGCGGCACGGCGAAGTGTCAATGTTGCCATGAACTTCAGATATGGATGAACATTGAGTGAGCATGATTAGTTTTAAGATTAGTTGCTATTAGTTACTGTATATAGTTGGTTGTTAAAACAGAACAGAGACCCGACATGGTATGATATGCATCCAATCATGTCACAATTTCCGTGCATCTATATTTTAATCCGTATGGTATGACCAATATCTAAACAATTCTAAACATATATGATCATGTTATGCGGATCAGCATGTATTGATAGTTCACTTGATCTATGATATATGTACATTGTTGTGGCCTTTGAATTCTTGGGCAAACGATGGTGTCAGCGCGTATATATACACAGTCAGTTAAACTAGCCAGTTGATAAATATATGGGGATATATATATATATGTATATATATATATACTTTAATTACGCGGGGTTTATGATGATTACATAGACTATATATCACTATTATGACTCTTATTAGCTAAGTTACTAGAACCCCCACCATTATACACTACTATAGTCTATAGTATAGTCTTTGTGCAATATTTTCATGAGAACACTATATACTTATATATATATATATTTATAGGTGGTTCCTAACATGAAGTATGTTGAACATCTTATCATATATATATATAAGTGGTTACTAACAAACATCTTTTTTACCCCGTGGAAAAATGGCCCCACTGTCACCCTATGAAAAGTGGCCCCTGTGAGGTGATGGAGCCCCCGGATCGTGCCATTGACGCTCTCTGGGGCACCATGCGGCCAGCCGCGAACAATGCTGGGATTCGACGGGGTCCATGGACCATACATAGTTATGTTCATTTGCTAGAGGATCATGAGAAATATACTGTATTCCTTAGTCCTTACTCTTTCCCATACCAGTTAGTGATAGGTATATATATGGTCCCGTCCTCCGTCTCTCCACCCCCCCCCCCATGGGTTGGGTCCCCAGGTAGTAGCCCCAATTCCCTTCTATTTGCAAGCTATTGGCAGCATTTCTGAGGTCCAGCTTCGTATTTGCTAGGTCTTTGCAGCATTTCTGACTACCAGCCTCGCATTTACTAGGTACATGCTACCTTTTAGGCGACCTACGTAGCACACATACTCCTTCAAAGTACCTACGTGCTACCTATAGTCATACATACATGTGCTATGTATCTACTGTATCTACTTCCTGTTTACTACCTGTGTACTCTGACAACACTACCTCTGTTGAACATATACCGTACCTACCATACATGTCAATGATGCCATGCATACCATACCTATCATATCTATCATACATACCATACATACCATACATATGAAATGTAATTACCACACCTACCATACATACAATAGCATACATACAATAGCAAGCATACATGCCATACATACCATACCTACCTTAGATAGGACATATTCCATACCCATCATAGTAACCATACATACCATACAGACCATACATACTGTCATATCAAACATACCATATCCAACAGACTTACATACCATACCTACCATCCATACAATACCAACCACTCATGCCATACATACCATACCTACCATACATACCAAACATACCATACTTTCCAAACATGCCATACCAGACCGACCATACACACCATACATACCCACCATACCATACCACACCCCCACCACACCACAGGGGGGGGAGGGGGACAGTGCCACACCCCCACCACACCACAGGGGGGGGAGGGGGAAGATCTCATATGGGACCAGTATATGGGACCCATCCACCACACCACAGGGGGGGGAGGGGGACAGTGCCACACCCCCACCACACCACAGGGGGGGAGGGGGAAGATCTCATATGGGACCAGTATATGGGACCCATCCCATATGGGGGGGGGGAGGGGGGGGGTGGCAGGGCCTGGTGCATATATATTATATATATATATATCATTAAGTACTATTCATCTATATTCATCTATATTCATGATATGTCTGGACGCGTTTGATCATCACCTCATGTGACGTCACTGGAGAGATGGTGAGATGGCGAGGAATCATCCACATAGCTGGCCGTACGATAACAGCTATTTTCATCCCCAACCGACTGGATGGTTACTTTAATCCTGCTGTTTTGTGCTATAAATGGAAATAACCATAATAAAGATTTTGTTTTGGTGGACTGCCAAAGATTGACCATGTTTCAGCTTAGAGAATTATGATAATTCAGCCAAATACTGTAATATGATATAGTGAAATATGTAATGTCACGCATATAGACAAAACTTAATATTATATATTTGGGTGTGGCTGAAACTTGGATGTACCCTTCCATAATCTGACATAGCTATTGAAAATGGCCCATGAACATAGATGATTTAGCTATCAAAAATGGTTGTTTTCCATGACAAACTGTTAGGTTACTGGAGGGTACGGGGGTTTAAAAACTTGCTAAAATAATAGTGAATCAAAAGTAAATGGACAAACAGGGGTCACAATAAGAACTATAAACCGTTTAAACTTTATGGATGCACCTACCATAAACCATAGTAAACCATGGCAAACCTATATCATAAACTAAGTTAGCTAATCTAGGGAACTCCCTAGTGTAGGTTTGTTGTATTTGGGTGAATTTGCAATGGCCTCACTGGCCGTTGTCAAATCATATGAAATCCAATCAAAATTCCAGAAATTCTGGGAACATGTCCCATGGGGATGTGAACATCAACTTTTGAGATTGCAGAAGCAAGAAAGGGATTTCCTCATTGGTTGTGTCAATATGTGTCTCGACCAGCTACGCAGTTCCTAATGTGCGAGTTATTAACCACTTACAGTACAGGCCTCACTGGATCAATTTCATGGACAGTCCACAGGGAATCCAGGTTTTCACCACGAACTGTAGATACTTTTTTCTTGATTTTCCTTTAATGTATTTAAAGCAATTCGAATCGAGTCTGTCTGAAAATTGGTTACGCCCTATTGGAGTATCATCAGCCATTGAAAACCTTGCCATAAATTGATTCGGAATTGGATGTAAATCATCCATTTATGGACATATGCAACTTCAAAAGTTGGTTGAATAGCAATATTTGTATATACATCATCATATATTCTTTAGAGGATACATATATCCCACAAACCAGCATCGTCATATGGGTTTGCCTGAAAATAGGGTACCCAAAATCCAATGGCACAATCATTTTCTACCATGAAAATGATGATTCGGAAGGTATACCACATTTTCAGGCAATGCCATATCAAGCAGAATGTTGGTCAGAAAAATATACAAAATACAATCTATTATATATATCCCTATGATATTTTTCCATTGTGTAGCTATATTTTGTTGTTTTTCAGACACACCCAAATTGAATAGAGTTGGGTTTTACGCCATGAAATATCCCCATTCATATCCCACTAACCCACCATCTTTAATTCAATAGATTGGTTTGAGGGAAAGTTGAAACCGGAACCCCCGAAAGCATTTCATGGGAAAAGACATGGTTTCCAGTGAAGATTTTCCCAAGAAAACCAATCCGTTGATTCATGGTTTTGAATATATATATATATATATATAGGCCATGAAACATCAATATTATATATCCCCAATTTAGCCCAAATGGTTCTGCTTGGTTCCCCGTTTTTCATCTTTGAATTCTCTGGGCCAAGGCAAATGTCCCACAGCTTTGATCCGGCCTGGACGGGCCAGACGGCCGCTGGGCTGTGGATAATTGATGTTAAACGATTGGATGGTTGATACTAAAAATGGTTGATACTTAGGTTGATACTAAAAATGATACTAAAAAATTGATACTTTAGTTGATATTAAAATTGATACTAAAAATCATCAACTTAGGATTGGAACATGCTTAAAATTTTGAATGGCCACTTGAGCAGTGTTCAAGACACCTTGGGACAGGACCGATGACTACACGGGGTTACACTAGCTATTTTTTTAAATGTTGGATGCTGATTAGCAGGGGGGCCCTTGTTCACCCCCAAACAGTTGAGGGGGTGCTCAGCAACTTAATTCCCCAAACAGTGTGTCCACACTGAGGGGTTCTTACGGAAGCTGTAAAGGCCGGTGCTTGATCAGGGTGCTCACTCTGGTCTCGCGCCTTTTTTCCTGTAAATGTCTGTAAAAAGTGGCTCTTGTGAAATGTTGACATGCGTTTCGACTGCGCAGGCTCGCGCAAAGTGTGGGTCCGCGTTCTGGGCCCAAGCTGGGGCGCGGCATTTTTCCTGTAAATTTCCGTGTAAAGTGGCTCTTGTGACGAAATGCATTTCGACTGCGCAGGCTCGCAGAAAGTGTGGTCCTAGCTTCTGGTCTGCGGCCATTTACCTGTAAATTTCCTTGTAAAGTGGCTCTTGTGATATGTTGACATGCATTGCGACTGTGCAGGCTCGCACAAGTGTGGTCCTAGGTTCTGGGCCGATCATGATCATCCCCACCCTCATCATCATCCTCACCGTCATCATCAACACCACCACCACCATCATCATCATGATCATCACCATCATGATGATGATCATCATCATCATCATGATCATCATCATGATCATGATCATCGCCATCATGACCATTGTCATCGTCATCGTCATCCTCATCCTCACCATCATCATCATCATCATCATCAACATCATTATCATACATTATCATACATTATCCCCCCCAACCCCCCCACACTGTTTGGGGTCTCTTGCCGGGATATGTTTTTTTGGGGATCAGGTTTGGGGAGTTAAGGGTCATGAAGTCATGAACCCGAGCATATATAAGGGATCTACTTAATTCATCTACAGTATTGTCCTTAATTGGATGTTAATTCATACGAATCTACTTTCAATTCATGTTCCTTCGTTGAGGTCATGGGTGATGAGTAATATGATTTGTGAGGATTTTCGAGGAGTAAATTTTGATTGCCGAGGGGTACAGCGCAGCTCTGTTGAGAATGGACATTTTAGGATGACATAAGCTTGATCAAAACCCATGTGAGCAGTGTTCCAAGCCCCCTCTGATCGATGACTATAGGGGGCTATGTGGCTAAGTGGCTAAAGTATACCCAATTTACAGTTGTACGGGGGATTAACGCAATCCACGAACTGGGAATGGCCCGTACGAAAAAACATATAAGGAAATTTCGTGTTTTGAACACTCTACCCTCTGGTTATGTCAACTGTTTGCTATTGAAAATGGTGATTTAGTTCGTGGATTTAGCCATTGAACATGGTGATTTTACATACTTATGTTAGTTTACCAGAGGGTAACCATCAAAGAGCCGCAGCTGTGGAAGAGAACCAAATCAGGGCAACTCGCGTCAGAACATCAGGGCAAGTCTCCGCACTCTTCAGCAACGGTGGTGCGGGCACTGTTGCGGATTTTTACTGCAGAAAAATGGCCCGAAATACCCGGCCTGGTAATGACTAACATAGCTATTGAAAATTGCCATTTATACTGGATTTATCCATTAAACATGGTGATTTTACATACTTATGTTAGTTTACCAGAGGGTAGCACTTATAACTACTAACAAAATCCCATGTATAGAATGTACAATTCCCATTGAAATAGCCAGCTATAACAAATAGCCATGGCCGCCCTGGCCATAACTGTGGAGTCTGACGATCCAGTCCGAACCCTGGGTCAACACCTGAGTCCGACGCGACTTCCCCATCTGGTGAACTTGGTACCCCAAGTCAGGATTTTTTAATCGTCCCCTTGTGTTCGTTCTAGAATGTTTTTCCGTTTAGGGTTTTTAACCAACCTCTATAATTTAGGGTTTATACTTTATACCATCGAAAATAATCTTCCCCTTATCTTCTTGTATAGTGCATCCAATTATCGTCATTCCAATATTCTAATTCTAAGTATACAAATAGACTAATCTATCTATCTGATCTAATCTAATCTAATCTCATCTCATCTAATCTAATCTAATCTAAGCCAATCTAATCTAATCTAATCTAACCCTATCTATCTATCTATCTACCTATCTATCTATCTATCTACCTGTCTATCTATCTATCTATCTTTCTATCTTATCTAATCTATCTATCTAATCTATCTATCTAATCTATCTATCTAATCTATCTAATCTATCTAATCTATCTATCTTATCTATCTATCTAATCTATCTATCTAATCTATCTATCTAATCTATCTATCTAATCTATCTATCTATCTATCTTATCTTATCTTATCTTATCCTATCCTATCCTATCCTTTCTATCTATCTATCTATCTATCTATTTACCTATCTATCTATCTATCTATCTATCTATCTATCTATCTATCTATCTATCTATCTATCTATCTATCTATCTATCTAATCTATCTATCTATCTATCTATCTATCTATCTATCTATCTATCTATCTAATCTATCTAATCTATCTAATCAATCTGTCTATCTATCTATCTATCTAACTATCTATCTATCTATCTACCTATCTATCTATCTATCTATCTAATCTATCTAATCAATCTGTCTATCTATCTATCTATCTAACTATCTATCTATCTATTATCTATCTATCTACCTGTCTATCTATCTATCTATCTATCTTATCTAATCTATCTATCTAATCTATCTATCTAATCTATCTATCTAATCTATCTATCTAATCTATCTATCTAATCTATCTATCTAATGTATCTATCTAATCTATCTATCTAATCTATCTATCTATCTATCTTTCTATCTTATCTAATCTATCTATCTAATCTTTCTATCTATTCTATCTATCTAATCTATCTATCTAATCTATCTATCTAATCTATCTATCTAATCTATCTATCTAATCTATCTATCTAATCTATCAATCAATCAATCAATCAATCTATCTATCTATCTATCTATCTATCTAATCTATCTAATCTATCTAATCTATCTAATCAATCTATCTATCTATCTAATCTATCTATCTATCTATCTATCTATCTATCTATCTATCTATCTATCTATCTATCTATCTATCTATCTATCTATATCCTATCTATCTATCTATCTATCTATCTATCTATCTATCTATCTATCTATCTATCTATCTATCTATCTATCTATCTATCTATCTATCTATCTATCTATCTATCATATCTATCTATCTATCTATCTATCTATCTATCTATCTATCTATCTATCTATCTATCTATCTATCTATCTATCTATCTATCTATCTATCTAATCTATCGATCTATCTATCTATCTATATATATATATATACATATGTATATACGTGTATATTTATATTTATATATATATATATATATCAATATATGTATGTATATATATATATACAGAAATTTATATCTATCGTCCTTCCAGAGATGCTCAAAAAGGAAGATTTACACCCCATGTTGAACGATGAAAACGTCATTGGATTTCCCTTCCCGACATCTGCTGGATGATTTCAGTGACCACCCAACTGTACCAAATAAAATCTTCCAAAAAAATCATGCAGCAACCCCCTAAAAGATAGAATAGCGATGAATTTCCTGAACTTATCTCAAAGTACTTGTAGAGTCTTTTAGATTGTTTTTTATATAATTCATATCTGTCATTTTGTTTGGTGTATTGCATCAACAACAAGTGCTCAGGAGAAGCAGCGGGCGGCCATGGCTTATCGCGCCTTCTTGGAGTTGCAGCAACAGTTTTTTGGCGTTTTTGGCGGGCAGCGGAGTGGAAAAAACTGTTCTTATGGCCCTTAACACTAGAAAATAACAGCTCAGAAAGTTATAATGATGGCCAGATTATAATAAATTATGGCCCGGTTGAATCCTCCTTAATTACTATGAAATCTGGGCAAATTATAGTGACCTCACGTCGTGACCTCGCTGGAATCATGGTTAGGATTCGGGGAATTATCCCAATATGTGTATATATATATATATGTACTAGGGGGTAATATATAATACCAATCAACTAGCAACCAACTAGTACATGAAATGGTTAGCAACTAAAAATCGGTAATACTTAGCAACTAGTTGTGGCCCTTAACAATTACAACTGGCATGAAATAGCTCCTGTAACTAGTTGATCATATATCATGTATCTGAAACCAGTCGCGAGTGGCTTGAGGGCCTTTCATTGAAGAAGTTAATGCCTATCAGTGGAATGTAGTGGGAAAAAATGGATAGAATGGACATTCATGGGATATACAGCGGGATATAGATGAACATCCACCATTTACCCTCTGGTAAACTAACATAACTATAGAAAATCACCATTTTTAATAGGAAAATCTACTATAAATCACCAATTCCAATAGCTATGTTAGTCATTACCAGAGGGTAGTTCGATGATTTACCCTAGCTAAACATATCTATTTAGTTCGGAGATTTCCCAGCTAGCCACGTGAACGACTAGCAGAGGGTATCGTTCATGGGACAAAGTGAGATCTAGTGGGATATATTTGGTTATTGTAGTGGGACATAATTGGATAGAATGGAATAGAATGGAATATACTGAGACGTAATAAATCACATATAATTCAATGATACTTAATGGAAATCAATCGGATATTATGATATAATTAATGGGATATGATGACCTATAATAGGATATATATATATACATAAATATATAATAGGATAAACTGGGATGTATGGTTTATAGAACTAACACACAGGATGGGTGCAAATGGCCTTGTGGTAGAGATGCAAGATGTGGAAAACACGCGGTTTCCCTGGGAAATTGATACACAAGGTCACAAGGGGGTTTGCCACGAATCTATGTTAGTTTACCCTAGGGTAACTAAGTTGATTGCCATCAACCAGTTACAACTGGCTATTCTCAGGAACTGCAAGTGCTTATTGGTTACTCTTAGATCAGCGAGACCGGTTTCAGAGAACATGTACAATGGACAGGACCCCTATAAATGGTATACTGGGAACGGTGCTTTGGAACCATGGAATTTTATGACTTTCCATTCAGTTGGGAATGTCATCATCCCAACTGACGAAGTCCATCATTTTCAGAGGGGTCGATATACCACCAACCAGTACATATACACATAAATATGGGTTACCCTCTGGTAAACATACAAAAAACTATGGAAAATCACCATTTTGAATGGGTAAATCCACTATTTCAATGGCTTCAAACCGGGAAACTCCTTTCCACTCACGGACGGCCAAAACGGTGGCAGCAGCTTCACCACCAAGGCAAAAGGAGGCCAACCACACCCACCGACGCCCCTTGGTGGTCAGGTCAGTCCTCGGGAGACCTGGGGACTATCAAGGCGCTGTTAACTTGGCCCAAGTTGCGTTTGTGGCGATGCTGAGTATACATATATATTAACATGTATATATCATAATATATATAAAATATGATATAATATATTATATATATATTATATTTGATGATATTCAAACTGATATACCCAGTAGTTGGAGCAAAACACAAAAAACACATTCATAATCATTCCCATATTTTGCCAAGTTTTACCATAGGTGCGTCTATCAATCCGTTTTCTGTGCGATCCTCAGGAGCCTCATTATCCTCAGGTCCTCAGGTTTTGGCAATGTTCATTGGAGAATATGCGGTTTGAAGAAGTGGATGTAATGGGGTGCTCCTTTTTTAGGCAAACCAAAATAATAACAAATGAATGAACATGACATATTGAACTATTGTATGGTTGGAATATGTTTGAATAACCTCTCGGTTAGACAAAATTATATAGGTCGTTTTAAGCTAAAACAACCCGAGTTTCTGGGAAACCATTTGTGGTTAGACAGATTGAAGAATATTAATGTCATTGACTGTGTGTCTTTCAAAGAATAACCGTTGGGAACTTCTCGCAGATATCCCCAGCCGCGAACCCCCGCTGCTCAGAAACCGGTGCTGCAGACTTTCTGTATGTGGCTTTTCAGGGTCAAGGCCTCAGGGGAGAGAGTGCTTGGCAATGCTTGGCATGTTGGTATAATCATATGGGATGTTAATGGGATATGAATGGGATGATAATATGGGATATTCATGGTTTAATAGGGATGATAATCGAAAACGGAGAGTCTTTTCCTGGATCCTCCACTTTCTTTTCTGAGAAACGACTTGAGAAACCATCAAAAACAGATGTTTTTTCCCCTGAACTTTGAGACAAACCCAAGACCTGTCAGCTCCAAAGAAGTTCCAGCGACCAAGGTGGCGATTTTTCTGGCACATCATTCCGCCTGAGAGATGAAGACACGCAGAAGGGATACAAGGTGGCTGGTTGAACCGTCATTTCTTCCGAGAACCTGTTGGCAAAGGGCTTTGTTGACGAAGTTTGAATCATATTCCCAAGGACTTAGTGACTTAATGTGACTTTGTGGTTGAGGATGGTTTGGGCACCTGGAATCTGTAGACAACTCTAGGATTTACCCTATGTTGCTCCCACCAACCGACCACCTTGGTAACTTGGATCAACGAAGCACCCATATTAATCAGATCATTGCTTACTAGTATGTATAATAAATATATTATATATATAATATTATATGATTTTATTGGGATATATCCATTATGGTGGCAACTACATTGGTTATCCAATGCATATTATATATATACACGTATTGTGGATATATAATATATCAGGTAATATTCCATATCAACCATAATTTTGGTGATATTTGGTTGTCATATCCGCAGAAAACGCTTAGTTTGTCCCGACATCCCCTGCTTCGACAAATTCCTCAGCAGAGAATCTGGAGGCGAAGTGGTTTGATTGTCCGCTGCATAGCAGCACTGCTGAAGACACCTTCTTAGAGCTCGGCGTGGTGAAGAAAGACCTTTGGATGCAGCTCTTTTTCTCGACAATTCAAAGAGGGAAATTTTGAAAACACATTCACATTTTAGGGGATCTTTGGATAACAACCATGATTTCTTGTAGATGTTCGCATCAAATTAATCCATTTAAATCCATTTAATTCCATTGACACATTGGGGTTCTCCATTTTAGCGGGGGGTTTGCATGGGTGTACCAAAAAAAAGTTGGCCATTCTGAGTGTATATATATATATATATAACTATATATTCATTATATATATACATCATATTATATATATATGTATATATATATATATTTATATTATACATTATATGTATATAACTATATATATATACATTATATGTATATAACTATATATATATACATATAAAACTGTATATATGTATTCATCTCCACTAAAAATATGGCAATTCTTGGAATCGTCCCATAGAGCTTACCTGGGATCCTGCCATCCGCGAGCGGCGAGTGAGGAAAGTCATCCGGATGACGTTTTTTTGTTTTGGAAAACGACCATTAAACAAATCATCAACTAGCCATAATCAGCAACAAGTTATATATATATATATTATATATATATATATTTGTGGACTATCAAAGAGTGACCATGTATTTGGCAATTTTTTATTGGAGACGAAACGCAATTTTGGTGCTAATGACTGTATCATTTTCAGCCGGGAAATGGAGATTTGTCCACGCACTACCTTTGAGTGAGAAAGAAATTGGCAAAACCTTGTGCAAGATCTGAAGTCTCAGAGTTTGAGCTTTCCATGGTCTTAGTTGCTGGTGGGGTCTTAGAAAAGTTCTTTAAAGCGAAACGGAGAGGGAAGACAATGCTAACGACTCGGAAGACGAAGGGTTACCACATAGATTGAGGGCTTGGTGCGATTGGGTGAAAACAGAAATGGATGGAACGTCCTGCCTTTTGAGATTGACCGACATGTTTTACATATTTTGCCCGTGCCCAGTTTCTTTTTCGGTTGTCCCACTTGCATCTAATCATATATATCTCTGGATTTATGGGAGATGACCTCACAACATCTGCACTTCAGATTCGGATAGTTTCATATGGTTTCAAACGGTAACCTACAGGAGCCAAGCACTTAGTTTTCCGCCTTTGGGATTCCTGTAGATGGGTTTACCATAAAAATTAGGAACGACAAGTAAACCGCGTTGATCACGGGGAAAACCTTCGCCAGGACCCAGAGTGCAATGAGAAGTTTCCGTTGAAACGGCCATGGTATACCTTGCAATCCAACATGGCAGATATCGGTGGTCCACTCAAGCGCATGTTCCTCGGTTGAAACCGAAAAACGGCATGTGGAACGCAAAGGAAGGGCATGTTGAAATTGTTATGATAAGATCTGGATTTGAAATTGCAATAAATTGGAAACATGTCTTAACAGAGATTAAGTTGAAATTGGAAAACATTTCAAAATAGAGACTTTTATAATCTTTTATTTAAGTTCAAAGCCGCAGGACGCTTTCATGGATGGTATGTTCATGGTGCTTTCATTTGGTAGGGCAATTGAGATCTATCTATCTATGACTTTTTCCACCCATCTTTGGGCGAAAATCCTGAACTCAGTTGACGAGCACATTATCCAACCAATCAGCCCACGGTCGGTTTGAAATCCAATCTGTTTTTGGCTATACCGGCTATACCCTTATACTATTCTTATACAAACAGAAACCCGGCAGCTTCAATGTGCCAGGTGCCCCCCAGTGATGTTTGCTGGTTTATAGACCCATCTAACTGTAAATATAACTGGTTGGTGGTTCCTTCCCATTGACTTTCATATTTTTCAAGTTGGTTAAAACCACCAACCAGTATAAAGTCTAGTTCACCCAGAAACGAAGTCCAGCTTCGCTAAGTATGGAGACAGCGCCTTGAGAGTGCTCAACAAATTCTTCCTAATCCCCGTTGGAACTCACCAAGCCGATGGAGTGTTTTTAGGTGGTCAGGGCTCTACGTCTACCTGGATGGTACCACCATCGGTCTTACCAAGACAGCACCCGTGGCGTATTGTGGGGACTACTCTTGCTTTGAGGTGCGGGGAGTCGGGGTATGATTTTAATCCATAGCGGTGAACAAGCCATGTATAACTGGGGTATACCGGAATATCCTAGAATCCCTAGATATGCATATACATATATCATCTGGGTGGAGGTTTGGAACATTAATTTAATTTTTCCATATATTGGGAATGTCATCATATGTCATCATCCCAACTGACGAACTCATATTTTGCAGAGGGGTAGGTATACCACCAACCAGTATATCATCATATGTAATTATAATTGATTATATATCACTGGGTTTTAATATGGTTAACCACTTGCCAATTGAGATGCACCCCTTAACATGGCTTCGAATGTGCCATTGGAATCATTGATGTTCGTTGCTGGTGATCAGCCGCTGAACATCCAGCGTTTCGAATGCACATTGCTGTATAGATCTGTGTAGGCATACCATGGGAGACCAGAAATGGGGAATCCACGAGACAGAAGGAATCCAGAAGAACTATGAATACAGAATACATATAGAATACATATGAATCAATGGCAGATGTCGGACCGGAAATCCCAACCCAGACCATACCCAGACCTCTTTTCCTCAGCAGATCACTGAAACGCACGGATATTATCGGGATTTGACACAAACATGATGGTTCTTGTTTCTTATCCAACACCAATCTTCCAGTTACCTGTCAGATAGCTACCCATCCTATTGGTAACTGGAAGGTACCCTGGGCAATGATGGACGTCCATTGGTTGATCATCTATAAATGGGTTGATTACTGTTCCTTTCCATAGCTATGTAAGAAATGACCATCCATAGCTAAATCTACCAGCCACTCTATTCTATTGGTAGATCATCTATAAACTGGCTGGTTGGTGGTTTCAAACGTTTTTTATTTTCCAGAATGTATGGGATGTCATCCTTCCCATTGACGAACTCATATTTTTCAAGATGGTTAAAACCACCAACCAGTATAAAGTCATATTTTTCAGAGGGCTAGGTCAACCACTAACATAACTATGGAAAATCACAATTTTTAATGGGTAAATCAACTGGTAGATCATCTATAAACTGGGTATGAACCATCCAGGGAGTGATTGCTGCCGACATCACCTTGAAAGTGGTGGGCCAGAGTTGCGACGAGGTGCCAGGGTCACCCCATGATTTTTTCAGTTCTGCTTGGTGTGGCGTGTTTTCGTGGGGTTATAACTTTAGAAAGACGTTCTAACTTATAACCATTTATAACCTATCTAGATTGGTTACCTGTTGGGTTACCTGTTGGGTTACCTGTTGGGTTACCTGTTGGGTTACCTATCTATATTGGTTACCAGTTTTGCCTATCTATAATCTATATTAGTGGTTCAAAACCATGATTATTTAAATGGTTATAAGCTGATGGAAGTCATGACGACCCACCTTTCCGGTTTTTCGCCCAATTCTAGGCCCGGAATAGGGGATGGGAGCACCATTGCCATACCTTAAGAAAGCCCAATACTGGGAACGGTGCTGACTGGAACCATGGAATTTGATTAGACTTTCCAGAAACAGTTGGGAATATATCATGATCCCAGCTGACCAAGTCCAGAAAATTTTCAGAGGGCTAGGCTCAATCAACCACCAACCAGTTATCTATATATAGGTATTATAACATATTATAACCACTATTATGATATAATCCCATTATTGATGATTATCCCATTGTAATACCACCAACCAGTCATATGGGAAGATTATGCGAAGGTCTCATCAGTCCAGTAAGCTCCATCAATACCCGGCTCCGTGTCATCAGTCCCATGGCTGGAAAATCCCCTGAGAGAACCTGTGAGGAAACATGGCATGTCCAGTGAGTTCATAAACAGATATTGACCACAAACAGATCCACCAACATAAATGTAGATTCTTTATTAAAGTTGAAAAGCCACGTATTTCTACAGGATGGGAAAACCCAGTCGAGTTCGCGTGAACCGTTGCCTTTTGTTTGTGTCTGAATTCTATGGTTTATGGTAGATATAACATGATATAACGAACTAGTTTTCATGGCGGAAATTTCATGGTTTATAAACCAGCAAACATCACTGGGGGGGCCCATGCTGCTCTGCCAGCGGCTACTGTAGTATCTAGGAATTCAAATCGCCCAGCAGATGATAAACAGCAGTCTTTCCTCGATCATTCATGAGCGGATCATGGCCACTGGGAACACGTGGGATTTGACATAATTTAACCAGCTAAGATGATCTATGATCTAAAATGGGGATATATATTAATTGTATATTAAATATATATATATATATTATGGAAGACTTATGGACAACCATAGCATATACAACTAGTATTGACTAGTTTGTGGGACCCGTTTCGATTGCCCGCCTGTTCTTTCTAAACGGCGAATCCGCTTCCTAAAAGGGGCTGTTTGAGGGCAGCAACATGGTTGAGGTCCAAGAACAGAAACCGCGGAGGGTGGGTTGTAGTCGTTAGCCGCTAGCCATATGTATGTTTTTTTTAGGGTATTGTTTGATTATCCATGTGGAACCAGAGTGAGCTTCACAGGGAACTTGGTATAGTTTCCCCTCGCAGCTTGGAGTTCCTAAAGAGCTCTGGGGATCGAAGAATCTTGATCCATACCCGGGTTACCCACAGGCCGATCTATACCCCCGATCCATACCAAAATCAACTAGTAACCAACTAGTATATGAAATGGTTAGCAACTATATAGTATATAGTATATATATATATATAAATATGGGTTAGTCTGAAAAAAGGCTACCTCCAGTTCCGATGGTTTCTCTTCATTTTCCCTCCCTAACCATACATGCTGATCATGGGGGATCCGCATGGATCTCAGACCCCATCATATGGTTATCAATCAGCTACCAATTGGGATGATCCTCCAAGTATCCCAACAAATTCGTGTTAGTTTTCACATTTGCCAATTTTTTTCCCTGAATGACCGACATCTCTGGCTTCAATGTCCTTAGATTCTTCCAGGTCCAAAGAATTCTTTACCTCTACTGAAATACCAATACAAACTGGTATTATTAATTCTTTAGATATAACGATTCATACTGATATGATCATAAACTACTTGAAATGGAAGCATAAATTTGATGACATTTGATTACTGATATGGTTCTTGATAAGAAACATGATCCATCATGATCCTATACCTGTCTTGACAAACGACCAGCCCGCACGTATATCATCTGCAGCCAGTGGTTTAGCACAAAAACACAACAAATGGTAAGACAAATGCGAATTACATTTCCTGGGATGTGTTGGGGTTGCATCACCTTGCTCAAAGAATATGGTAATGTCCACCTTTAGACTGGTCAAAACCCATGGGTTTTGCGTCAGGTTTCTCCTCAGCTTCCTTGAGATTTTCTCAACATTTCCCAACCAAACCTCAGATTGGGAAAAATCCATGGGTTTTCCTCGTTTTCCTCAGTTTCCTCTGGAGTTTCTTAACATTTAGATTGAAAGGGAAAAATCCATGGAACAAAAACCTCACGAAAAGCCCATGGTTTCTCCAAAAACCACCAGGATTTTTGTCATGGGTTTTCGTCCAGGCTTTCGTGACGTTGCAACAAGAACTCATGGCTTCAGCCTATCAATTTCCCATCAATCGGAGCATCTCGGTGGCGAAGCCAGTCCCTGGGGGTTCAGTGGTCGGTCAACTTTCAGGAGACGAAGAATGGTGTGTTTTTTGATCATGACGTTTAATGTTGTTTAATAGGAGTTGGATGGATTTAGTGCAATTTATTGGCATGTACCTTCCGGTAATCAACCATGGTTCGCTAATCTAGAGCTGATAGATGATTTTCCCAGCTATAAACCTCAATTTACAAGGGATTATTAAGGGGGATTCCCAGTTGCAATGTCTGATTGCCGTTGGTGAATTGGATTCCCAGATCCAGAACCATGGAAATTGGGGATGTAATCAATGTACAGTGAGGATTACCCTCTGGTTATGTCAAAATAGCTATTGAAACTGGCCATGTATCATTGATTTATCTATGAAAAGTGGTGATTTTCCATAGCTATGTTAGTTTACCAGAGGGTAAACGTGATTTTTGAACCATAGTCAATCATCAACATGTGAGCCCGTTGGTACAAACAGTTTTTCCAACTGGAAATGGAGCTGTGAACCAAGACAAACAGATCTTTGATACTTGATGGGCAAAAAAAATGACCAATGACTAGAACAAATAAAGCTTACACCAAGACCGGGTCGGCAGGAATTCCCAGTGCCATTCATTTCCAAAAGGTATTTGGATCAGCTCTGAATTCTGAACTACGCTTTTTCCTTTTATTAACCCTGAAACAAGTCCGACCATAGGTATGAAAAAACTCCTTGCTTTCCCGGCAATGATCCGTTACCAGACAGATTCTGAAGGGGGCGGAAAAGATGTTGGTCCATTTTCATAGGATTGTAAATACCATCCCATTTTTGGAAAACCAATTTTTCCGTGATCCATACTTCCAAGGATCATCCCACGAATCGTATCTGGTTTTCAACCCAACTATTAGTATATCAGTCCCCTAGGTGAAAGTGGTGTATCCAGTTGCGATTCGTGGTATGATCCTCCAAGTACCCAAATGTGCCACGCTCAAAGCATGGTGTATTTTCCCATTTTTTTGGGGACGGTCATGATATAGGTATTACTGTATTACCAGCTATTATGGTGTGAACAGGGGTACAAGGTTTTGACCCATAATCGTATAGGGATATGATCGGTATATGGTATATAGGTATATATATATATACACACCTGTACATACATATATATACATATATATATATGTATATGTATATATATATATACACACCTGTACATACATATATATACATATATATATATATGTATATGTATATATATATATATGTATATATATATGTATATGTATATGTATATATATATATATATGTATATATATGTATATATATATATATGTATATATATATACGTATATATATATATATATGTATATATATGTATATATATATATATATATTACACCGTGTTTTTTGACTATGGCACCAGTCTGAAACACCGAGGTAATGCGGTGGTCTTTGTGGTGAGCCAATTGACTCGAGGTGCAATCCACTGTGGTGCCCCAGTTAGTTCGATAAACCATGGGATCCATAGGAAATCCATAGGAAATCCATAGGAAATCCATAGGAAATCCATAGGAAATCCATAGGAAATCCATAGGAAAATGGAGGTTTACCCTCTGGTTATGACTAACATAGCCATGGTATAGATGGCTTATAGAAATAGATGGTTTACCGTTTTTAAAAATGGTGATTTTCCATGGCTATGTTAAATAACCAGATGGTACATGTATACTACATATAATCCCTAGTTGCGGGGAAATATCTATACTACTATACTACATGTTTGGTAACTATGATATGGTATGTTACTAGATATATATGGGCAGATACCATCTGGTAAACTAACATAACTATGGAAAATCACCATTTTTACTAGGCAAATCAATCATAAATGGCAATATTTAATAGCTATGTTAGTTTACCAGAGGGTATGGTTTATTACTAGGCAAAGTGCCACGTTGATGATTGTTGATGGGTTGATAAATATAGCTAGCTTGGTTTATACACCAAGTTATGAATGGAGGAGGCACCACTCGTATGACTTAATCTTTTGACTGACACAGAACATCACATATCATCACATATCATCACACACCATCACATTTCATCACATATCATCACGTATCATCACATATCGAACCATGTATAGCCATGTATATATATACACAGCATTACATAACCATAAATAACCATGGCTGCAACACCATGTATGCACTCGTACATATATGTATATATATATATACCACATCGGGTCCTGGTTGGTCATGGCAGGTCAGCAAGCTCCAGGGGTCCTGGTTGGCGCCTCCCATCTCCAACTGGACCAGATTGTGATGGCGCAACACTCCAGTGAGGCGCTGGCTCAAAAATATATTTAGAGGCATGGGTAATTATATACATTATTTTATTAATAATTGTGGTGTGTATATATATATAATAATAGCAATATTAATAATAGCAATAATAGTAATGATGATAACAACAATATATACATCAATATAAATATATATGTATATATATATATATGTAATGTATATATTGTGTATATATATATATATCTATATATATATATATGTAATGTATATATTGTGTATATATATATAATGCATGTGTATATATATATATATATATGATCCCGTCCGGCCGCAAGATCCCCGATGGGACGGGTCCAGGAATAGCCCTCTACCTCCCATTTTACGTGGTATTTGGTACGTTTTGGCTTATCTACCCATCCCATGCACATACGAACTATATAGTCCCTACCCTCTAGCTATGCACTACATTTATACAATCTTCATCTGGCACTGATACATCTATACAATGCAGCATTACTATACAATCTTGGCACTGATAATGCGTATATTATCGTACTTTGTCACAGGCTTATACTTTCTTTTACTACCGTTTTACCTATATATATATATATATACATATTATGTATAAACCCCTATATACCACTTATACTCCATCTTACACTATCTTGTTCCTATATACTACCTATATACTATTTACAAATTCCTATAATTATACTATTTTTGCACTATATATATATATATATACATACAACCTACGTATATATTATCTAAATATTACGTATTGCCAGGTTGAAGATGAATGGATGTTACCGATTGCCGAAGACTGCTCTGAGCTGCCATCAGTCATTTTCCTGGTGCGACCGAGGTTTGTTCGAAGCACAATCGCGGTTTCACAAGTCCCTTGGAGCAAGCTTTGTGTTCGCGGAAAAAAGCTGAAGTGATGGCAGTTTAACTTAGAATTGCGACTTGTAGATCCCATTCTTTTTCCATGCGTTCGCTGCGTAGAAGTATATATTTGTAAATGCTTCTGTGTGTAAAAGCATCTGTGTGTAAAGGCTGCCCTGTGTAGAGACATCTGCGTGTAAAAGCTTCCCTGTGTAAAACTTTTTGTGTGCAAAAACATAAACTCTTGTGATTCTGGCGCCAGCCCTGGATCAGACCTCCTGTAGGGACCAAAACAAGCATCAAACTGTGGATGTATGACATTCCACCTACGTCAGCTTCCATTCATCATCACCTCTAACATCATTCACCCATTCATTCATTCATTCCTTCCTTCATTCATTCATTCATTCATTCATTCCTTCATTCCTTCATTCCTTCATTCCTTCATTCCTTCATTCCTTCATTCCTTCATTCCTTCCTTCCTTCCTTCCTTCATTCATTCATTCATTCGTTCATTCATTCATTCATTCATTCATTCATTCATTCATTCATTCATTCATTCATTCATTCATTGATTTCATTCATTCATTCATTCATTCATTCATTGATTGATTCATTGGTTCATTGATTCATTGATTCATTGATTAATTTTTTCATTGATTCATTGATTCATTGAATCATTGATTCATTGATTCATTGATTGATTGATTCATTGGTTCATTGATTGATTGATTCATTGATTGATTGATTCATTGGTTCATTGATTGATTGATTGATTGATTCATTGATTGATTGATTGATTGGTTGACTGATTGATTGATTGATTGATTGATTGATTCATTCATTCATTCATTCATTCATGTATGTAAGGGGCCTCAGGTGTCCAGGTGATTTCAATGAGTTCATCCAAATGCTTAAGGATCAGCTGTGGAATGGATCATATCCGTTCGCCCTACGTTGGGCGTCGTGATCTCCAACGAGTTGTTGCGGGCCGGGTGTCCTTCACGAGTCTGGCTGAGAAGGTATCTTTGAAGGAAATCGAAGGAAGGAAGGTGCGAGGACGTGTGATCAACACGATCACTGAGTCTTGAGAGAATGCTTCTATAGAAGATTTTAGAGAATTGAGAGGCCGGAACTCGCAAAACGCCAAGATTGCCACCAGTTTAGTTCCTTGATTAATTTTCGGCTTGAACCACAATATTGCATCAAGACGTTCAACAAAAACAGTTCTATATATCTTTCAATGATGGAACTGCTGCTGCACCTTGTCATACTACCAAACGATGTGAAGACCAACTCCACTTAATGCAAATCTGTGGTTAAAACTGTCAGGATTTGGATCCCAACAGTGGATCTGGTGCGAAAAACGTACGAGAAGAAACCGAAGCCTCTGATGTCTGCAGGCTAGATTTTTTACACGTTAAATACTAGACTGAGAATATAAAGCTCTATATAAAAACAAGAAGATATGTTTTAAGTTTTCAATCTGCCAGCGCCAGGAGAAACAAAGTGAAGATTCCTTGACATCAACTTCCAGAGCTGCCACACTTTGTTTGTGTGTCCCAACATGCTTGACTCATGACATTCCCTACCATTAAATAACATCACATGAATCATATGTGTGATTCCATTGCTATTTTAGAAGAGTAAACATGGAGAGCGTGACCAAATAATTACACACGGTACTTCTAAACATTTCCAAAGCAAGAAAAATCACGTGTTTTATGTGGAAAGATGGGCCCCCCATTGGGTTGCGGGGGTCCCCACTATCTATATACCCACCTAAATACCTACTGTAGATGTGACCATATACAAATATAAATCCCAAAAACATATAATATATCTATCTATCTAAATACCCCTTTACTTGCATCAGAACCCCACCCACCTACCTGTATACCTATATGCCGGCAAGGTCAAGGTCATCAGGGGTTGGAGTTCTAGATCCACCTCGTTCTTTCGGACTTTCCACGCAAAAAGGAGCCGAATTATCTTTGAGACCCACTTGAGCCTGGTTGCTGAGAAGTTGAGCCCATTGTTGGTCCATCGCCAGCCAATCGAACAACATCTAGATATTCTCGATGTTGGTTGTGCAGGTTGCTTGTATCCAACTTTCTTCACCCGTTGATGCATGGCATCTCTTTGCCACAAGTTCCTGCACTTGACGGGAAGCATTTCCATGAACATTGATATCTTATTCGGCGCCAAGCTAGGCGTCTATAGATTGAGACATCGCAGAGAAGGTAGCCCTCACAGCGCAGGCAATCTGAGAGTATGCTGAGGTTTTCCTTCTGCCTCAGATCATTCCCAAAAGCTTTTGTTTTGGATAGCAGCTTGCCAAACAAGAATGTCCCAGAAAAGTGCCCGAGGTGAGTCATATCCTTTTCCTCCAAGAATGCTTCAACAAAACGAACAAAAGTGTTCTTTACTGCCCATAGTTTGTGGGCTTTCTCATTCTCACGTGCTAGAGCGTCCAGTGTCTTTCTGATGTTGGTTATATTCAGGCATCGATGCTGCTGGACAACGTCAGATAGATATGGCGTCATTTTGGAGGATGTTGTAGTTAGAGTCGGTATACACTATGTTGGTATACCTTTTGCAGATTGGCTTAAACCGCGGGAGTATCAGGCAATCACGCATGACACAATCATTTCAACCCACAGGGCATGACCATGTTTGTCCAGACACGAAACAAGGCACTAAAAAATAACACCGCTCTTTGTGTCGTCGAAATGCCAAAGTTGAGTGTGGATGGCTGCCCTTCAGCTCGCTCTCTTATCAACTTTAGTGTAGGCGCAAAAAACCTGAAATGAACAAAAAAGAGTACTTGTTCATTTCAGAACCAAAAACATTGTGTCGAGTGGAACTAGCTGCTTTATAGCTCAATTGATTTTGAAGATTTGAAAATATTTTGTGATCTCATGGCTCAATCCCTGCCAGAGGTCAAGCAGATCGCTGCTGAAGATTGAGCGTGATTCCAACGGCTTTGCGCAATGGATACGGTGCTGTGTGCGGCGGTTTCTGGGCAGGGCTGGACTGCACCAGTCCACACAGGGACTTCGATGCATGGTGTTGCCCTTGCTCATGGGCAACGTCTAAATGTTATCCAAATACTATCTGTATACTTTCGATATGATCATACCCCTTTACCTATCGATAGTCTGTATTCTATCATGTATACCCCTTTTGATCTGATAGTATATATGGTATTACAATATCTATATGTCCTTTACCTATATACCCATCCCCTACGTTATTGCCAGCCCTTACCCACTGGGGATTGGAGGGGATCACCAGTATGATCACATATTTCTATATACCCTTGGACCGGCAAACCCAGAACCATTGGGGAGGGCCGGGGGGCTGGATAATATATATATATATAATTAATTATATAATTATATAATTATATATATATAATTATATATATATATATAGAGATATGTATATGTATATATATATATATATTTATATGTAGATCTAGATATAGATGTATATATATATATACACATACAAATGTATATATATGTAAATATATATGGCAATAATCAGTTCCTGTTCATTGAGAATAAGCACTGATTTACAGTGTGTATACACGCAATCATCCTGGAGAAGATGAGGTATGGAACGTTTCAAAAACCCTCGCAAAAATGGGAATATGCGTAAAATTTCATTTTCCATCTACTTCACAAGATGATTGTAAAAATTACACATGTAGTATATATATTTTTTTTCATACACATACATTGTATATCGATGGACAGAGAAAGAGGTAACCCCGGAAAAAATAGTACAACCTGCATAGTGTTCTACAAGCTGTTGCCCCAAGTCAAGTTTGTTTTAGCTAGATTGGTTTGTAACATGTTGTGTTCATCCATCTAACTAGTTAGTTCCATGTATCAACATAGTTAATCCTCTGAACCAAATCAACTTAGCTAATTATGGGGGTATCATGTTTAACCATTTTTTTGGGCCTTCCATCTACTGACACCTTTTTCCACCCGACTGGTATTCAACTGAATAAAGACATGATGGTTTTCCATAGCGAAACTGTAACCAATTACCAATGCGTACCCAACTTCCTGAGTTTCGAGTATAGCAATCAGTGGGAATTCCAGGACTATTCCCTTACATAGCCCTTGCATAGGCTCTATATATCGTAGGTAACTCAGATTTTACATATTTTTACATAGTTCCTGGCCATTGAAGTAATGAACGAAAATTTACCTCTTGGAGATGCACCACGGAATCGCAAGTGGAGAACATAGTTCATTGATATTGGGATATATGTTCTCATGTCAGTCGGGATTGGGGTTTCTTACGGGGATCCCCGAAACCAGTTTCAATGACTTGAACGATTTGTGGGTACCCCCATTTTAGGAAACCACGATATCTAAGTGGGTGAAGTGCTATGATTACCAAACGAGCGCTGGGAGATTGGAAGTCTCCATCCATGGAATTGGAATCAAATCTGCAGCACGAATTGGGGCCTCAACATTTAAACACCTGTAAGGTTTAGTAGCAACCATACCAGTTTGAAGTCCAACGTGGCCCCCCTCTAGGCAACAAAAGTCAGCTGAACCTAGGTCAACATCACTGTATGATCGGGATAATAAATATGAATACCCTCTGGTAAACAAACAAAACTATGGAAAATCACCATTTTTAATAGGGAAATCAACTATAGATCACCATTTTCAATAGCTATTTTGACATAACCAGAGGGTAAGCGATATGTATCCTGACAGGCCTTGGTGTCAAGCACATCCATGGAGTTATTGCGGCGATTTGGTGAATGGAACGCCTCGGCTCTCCAGGTCGCCCGGGAGTAGGCCGGTGAATTCATGGATTAGGTAGACAAAGGATTTGGAAAACGAATGGTTTCCCTAGCTGGTTGGTGGTTTGGAACATGAATTTTATGATTTTCCATTCAGTTGGGAATCATATTCCCAACTGACTAATATTTTTCAGAGGGGTTGAAACCACCAACCAGCTAGGAAAATGATCTAGAAATGGTGGGTTGTCCATATCTGTGCTAGCTCACAGGAGGGTAAGTGGATGGATTGATGGATTTGTTGCTTGTTCGATTGAGATATATGTGTGCTAAACATAAGGTTTTGGTGATGCTTAGTTGGTAAACGAACTAACACTGGTGGTTCAATGATTTAATACTTAGTACGGGTTTACCTGGGATACATTCAGCATTAACCACCAAGAACATAGACAGTGATTCACCTGTATCTGAGCAGGAATCCACTTTCCTCTATGTCTGAAAATATGATAGCCCGAAATTCCAAATTCAACGGCTGATCATCATGTTTAAATAACAGTTGTAAGTAAATCTACCAATTTTTGGATAGCCCCAAATGTGGGGATGGGTTTAAAATTATGCACGTTTGTTGGATAATTTTCAAATGTTGATATATATATATATAAATACACCACAGTGTACATACATATATCATTTATATTGATCACTCAGGAAATTTCACCTCCCCTATTTTTTTTTTAAAAAAACTCTATTTTCTCAGCTTCGCATGAGATTGGGGTCACAATGAGATGATGTTTTGCATTGCGGTACATCTTGGTTAGTTTTTTTAATACATGGGATGGTTATTGAAAATAAGTTATTTATGATATTCTAAAACCTATACCCTGTGGTAATCCAACATAGCTATTGAAAACCACCCTGTCACAGGTAAATCATCTTCAAATGTGCCTAAATGTGCCATGTTCATCCATTTTCCATAGCTATGTTAGACTGCCAGAGGGTATATTCACCCCGCTTCGCGTGGGGTGGCCGCCCACACCGCAGGTTTATTTCGGTCCGTGAGAGGGGCTAAGGGTGGTTTTCCCCCGTGGGGGCTCTTCAAGCTAAGAAGTTTCAATAAGAAATCCTTCCAAAACATTGTTTTTGACAGTGTTTTTCCAATGTTTCCAGTCAAACAGAAGGTAATTTACACGTTTTTTGCCATAAAGGCAGTAAATCCTTCCAAAACATTGCTTTTGACAGTGTTTTTGTAATGTTTCCAGTCAAGTATACGGTAATTTACACGTTTTTTGCTATAACGTCAGTCCAAAACACTTGTTTTTGCAGTGTTTTCAATGCTCTGGCATCAAAAACCCTGCAAAATCTTGCTATGTACAATGTTTTTTTTCATTTTTGGCCGTTTTTCCATTGCCGGAAAGCTACCAAAATGACCCAAAATTCCATTTCAATACCCTCTTGCGCTCAGACACCCAAAAATCCTCGAAAAATGTCGAAAACACCACCGTATTCTGGTCTCGGTGCGAAACCGTTTTTTGGGTCTGGTCTCGGTGCGAAACCGTTTTTGCCCCCCCCCAGCTAAAGCTGATATAGCGACTGCTATATTAACAAATGTCATTGAGCATTTAGTGTTGCTGTTGCCCCCCAATAAGCACGCCTTCACCGCCAAAGCGGTGTGGGCGGATTTTTTTGTGTGCCACCCGGTCCATGGATGTATGCTCCATATACAGTGTATGTGCCAACACTGACCCACAAATTGCCCCATTTAGCTTGCGTAATAGGGGCGCTGATGATTAACCACCGCATTTCGGGGGTACCCGAAATGCAACCCGTATATGACTATATGTTGTCTGTATCTCTACATACATTTACATACTGTATATTGTTGCACATCTGTATACTCAAAAATCTCAGCAGCTGAGAATCACGTTGTTGCAGCTTATTATCTAAGCCATGAACAGACATGGCTGGTTAACATTCCCGTAGTGGCCATGGTTATAATCTCCATGTTGAAATGTTCCATTTGTTTAATGTGTGTGTGTACAGTTATGGCCTGTAGGACTTACAACTAGGATTATAACATATTATAACTCCTTCAACTAGTTTCTATTATCTCACAATTATATCATCACTTAGCCAGTTATACCCTCTGGTTTTGTCAAAATAGCTATTGAAAATTGTGATTTAGTTCGTGGATTTACCCATTGAACATGGTGGATCTTTCCATACTTATGTAGACGTTTACCAGGCCGGGTACCACTTGTAACTACAAACAAAATCCCATGTATAGAATGTACAATCCCATTGAAATAGCCAGTTATAACTAACTGCTTCAAGGCCTAAGGCCTGCCGTGTTTTTTCTTCCCTGATCTCTGAAGCGAGTTTTTGCTTCACAGGAGGAGCAACTCTTCCGCTTTCGTGCTGCCAATGGCTCCACTGCTGCCTGGCAGGGGAACAAAAATGGGATTCCGCATCGAAAGGCATCGAAAATGATGGGATTACCCTCTGGTAAACAGCCACATAACTATGGAGAATCACCATGCTATTCATGGGTAAATCAATTATTTCGACTGGGCCATTTTCAATAGCTATTTTGACATAACCAGAGGGTATCCATTATCAATGAATGGTTAAATGGTAAATGATGGGATTATCCATTCAACTAGCTGATAAATGAATATAAATGATTAACTACGTTTTTTTTTAAAACCATTTATCATCCATTTATCAGCTGGTGATGGGTTTTCGCAACCATCCAGTTGAATTAGAGAATTTATGGCCATAATTTACCCATCACTGGAATGGTGCTCGGATTGGGAATCATACCCGGCCTTACTTCAGCTAGTTGAATTGTTAAGGATTGTGGTTTATCTTGATACATCTTGATACTTTGAAAGAGAAGAGACGGCATCACATGGCCTTAACAAATTATCTTTAGCAGCAGCTGGGGTATGGTTGGGGCAAGAGAAGTGGTGTGGCTTGATTTCAGCTGCTTGATTGAATTGTGATCGTTATTTATCCAGATCCTTTGACAGATGTTGTTTAAATAGTATAAATTCTCTAATTCAACTGGATGGTTGCGAAAACCCCATCACCAGCTGATAAATGGATGATAAATGGTTAAAATCAATGGATTGAGATGCCAATTCCTGGCAGGGTTTCCCACGAGTTCCTCCGAAGATTGGAGTGTCCTGTAGATGTTCCCCAAGATTTTCCCAGCAAGAGCCGCAGCCCCATTTCTTCAGGTATCTTGCCCCTATCAGTGGCATGGTTTATCGAAACAGAAATCTTTTGATTCTTGAGATGATTTCCAACAAGTTGTTCCACCCTCAAGGAAGTCTTTCGCAGGAAGATAGGCCAAAGTAAATGTATACTTTTCCTGCTGCTTCAGATAGTTTGTGTGTGTGTTCTTGGTTTCATCAGTATTTCTCAGTTCTGTCCATTTCTGGCCACATTTTTGTTGATCAGATCTCCAAATTGTTTTGTTCCAATGGGGATGTCACGTTCTATATGTCTAGGTTTCTTCACTACCTTGAGATTTTACATAGCTGTAAGACATCAACATATCGAAGTCAACGGGCCATGGCTTAACCATGGACTCCTCGATGTCCAAGGACTGCGGTGTGGAGTTTTCGCAGTTTACAGACCCCGAATGTTTGCAGGCGGGTGGAGGACAATGGGACATGACTTACCCTCTGGTTATGTCAAAATAGCTATTGAAAATGATCATTTATAGTGGATTTTCCCATTGAAAATGGTGATGTTCCATAGTTATGTTAGTTTACCAGAGGGTATGTCATGTTTCATGGAAGCTAGTTGCAGGGAGACAAAGACATGGAGATAAAGATCGTGAGGTTTTCTGAAGGAAAGTCTTCATGAGACAAACTGTTGGCTTGTCAGAGGGTTGGTTAATGGTCCCAGGAAATCACATGTTTTGACAATACTTCAGTTACCTCAGTTAAAACTTAGACACTGTGAACCAACAATTTTAGCAACTTTTTTACAATCGGTCGACAATCAAACATAAGAATCTATGGTCCAATCATTCTGTTGAGGGGTTCCAATGACAACCTTTCTGGGCGCCGACTTTGGGTGTTGAGCTGATGGTCAAACTTGAAGACCTGGGAATTTCAGACTCTAAGCCTAGAGGGTGACATTTTCAGTATAACTTCGAGCATTTTGTGTCCCCTTGGGTGAGGGATTTGATGGTGAAACGTTGCTTTCTCCGAGAAAAGGCTGAAAGGATATCAATGCTGAGCAAAAAGCTCCCTTAGTTTAGACGGGCATTAGTTGTACTACCAGGCAAGCTAGAGATAGGAAAGGTAATTTGGGGTCAAAACTGTAGTAGGCCTCAGAAAATTGATGATGATCTAAGATAAGCAATTCTGTCTTTTGGGCGTTAAAACTTATCAGATCTGGGAACCCCCAGGCTTCATAGATGAAACAACCCCAGTATAGAAGAATCATGAGTATATGTTGTTTTACACGTGTCCCTGTCTTACATGCATACACACATGCATGCGTACAGACACCCAGACATACATAAGCAGACAGACACAGCCAGGTAGACATACAGATATACATACATACATAGATAGAAAGATAGATAGATACATAGATACATAGATACATAGATACATACATGCATACATACATACATACATAGATACATAGATACATAGATACATACATACATACAAACATACATACATACATACCTACCTACATACATACATGAATACATACATGCCTACCTACATACATACATACATACATAGATAGATACTTAGATGCATAAATACATAGATAAATAGATACATAAATACATAGATAAATAGATACATAGATCCATAGATACATAGATACATACCTAGATGCATACATACATACATACAAACCTGCATACAAACATACATGCATAGAACAAACATACATACATACATACATAGATAGATACATACATACATACATAGATACATGCACGATACATAGATACATAGATACAAAGATACATAGATACATAGATACATAGATACACACATACATACATGCATGCATGCATGCATGCATACATACATACATGCACACATACATACACACATACAACAAACAAACATACATACATACATACATACATGCATACATACATACATACATAGATACATACATTGATAGATACATAGATACATAGATACATAGATACATAGATACACAGATACATAGATACATACATAGATGCATAGATACATAGATACATACATAGATACATAGATACATAGATACAAAGATACATACATAGATAGATAGATAGATGCATACATACCCACATACATACATGCATACATACATACATACATACATGCATGCATACAACAAACATACATACATACATGCATGCATGCATGCATGCATACATACATACATACACACAAACAGGCATACATACATGCATACATGCATACACACATACAAACAAACAAACAAACAAACATACATACATACATACATAGATACATAGATACATAGATGCATAGGTACATACATAGATACATACATACATACATACATGCATACATACATACATACATACATACACACATACACAGATACATAGATACAAAGATACAAAGATACATAGATACATAGATACATAGATAGATAGATAGATACATACATACATACATAGATAGATACATACATAGATACATAGATACATAGATACATAGATACATAGATACATAGATACATAGATACATAGATACATAGATACATAGATACATAGATACATAGATACATAGATACATAGATACATAGATAGATACATACATACATAGATAGATAGATAGATACATACATACATAGATACATAGATACATAGATACATAGATACCTAGATACCTAGATACATAGATACATAGATAGATACGTACATAGATAGATACATACATACTTACATAGATAGATACATACATAGATACATAGATACATAGATACATAGATACATAGATACATAGATACATAGATACATACATAGATAGATAGATAGATAGATAGATACATACATAGATAGATACATAGATACATACATACATACATGCATACATACATACATAGATAGATAGATAGATACATACATAGATAGATACATACATAGATACATAGATACATAGATACATAGATACATAGATACATAGATACATACATAGATACATACATATTATGGTATATTTATAATACACGGATTCAGATCCACCTTCTTTTCCCAGGATGCCCATCGCATCGGCAGGTGGGTACCTTGTCCGTCCAGCTAGATGAGGCAGCGGGACGACGGACGACCAGGGGATCATCCATGGTCTGGACGTCGGTGAACATTTTCTCCATTTATAGATGACTTATACTCATACCCCAAAAAAAATTGTGTTCAGAAAATTTACCAGAGGGTATGTTCAACAGTATCTTAAATGAGGTTGAAACGCATATTCAGAACATACCCTCTGATGTTCAACAGTTATGAGAATTTACCAGAGGGTAATGGGATATGTTTCATATTTCCCACATTAGTTAGTGATAAATCCTGTATAAATCAAAAGTCTGGATGGATTATAATAAGCTCACGTTGTGACGTCACTGGATTTGTGATTAGTAATGGGAATCATCCCGGAATGGTCGTATGATAACAGCATGATAACAGCTATTTTCAGCTTAGTGAATTGTATATTGTTATACTTATGCTAAATATATCATATATCTATATAGTCATCTTGGAGCAGATAGAGTATGACGAAGTCAAACAAACACCAAGGTGGGACTCTTGGAACATGCCATACTCTATTTGCATCAGGATGGTCATGCTTACATACACATTAAAGACATGAGCCCATTGTCGACCACTAAAAACCCGACACGTGGCGCCACAACAGGGGTCCTGGTTGGATCACATTATCAAGGTTCCCCTAGAAAATGGCTACAGATGGTACCCCAAAACGATAGCTGATGTACTTTGGAACTACTGGGGTTTATATAATCTATTTGTAGTTAGATGGGTCTTTATAAGCCAACTTAGAACTGGGAATCCACGTTTTGGAGGTCAAAAAATCACTATTTTTGACGGCCTAACTCCATTTTGACCCGGTGAACTCCCAATTTTATGCCTGGCAAGTGCCACCAGGTAGATCGTTGGCTGGTGGTCATCGTCTCTCCTGCCGTCGCATTCTTCACCTTGGCAAAGCACATCGAGGAGAATGTCATGGAAGAATTGGAGGTCCGGCAAAGCCTAGGGGGAGGGTTTTTTATTGGGAACATTGGGACATGATATAGTTTTTTAAATGGATATGTGGTTTATGATATTATGAAAATGATATAGTTGTATATATATATATACATATGGATATGCGGTTTATGATATAGTTTTTTTATATGGATATGTGGTTTATGATATTATGATATAGTTGTATATATACAAATATACATATGGATATGCGGTTTATGATATAGTTTTTTTTTTTAAAAAAATATGGATATGTGGTTTATGATATTATGATATAGTTGTATATATATATACATATGGATATGCGGTTTATGATATAGTTTTTATATGGATATGTGGTTTATGATATTATGATATAGTTGTATATATACAAATATACATATGGATATGCGGTTTATGATATATATATATATTTTTAAATATGGATATGTGGTTTATGATATTATGATATAGTTGTATATATATATATTAATACAGATGGATATGCAGTTTATGAATAGTTTTATATGGATATGTGGTGTTATAATTTAGTTTAATTCTACATGATTTAATTGGGATAACAACAGGATTGCTATGATTTGACCAACACAATGGTGATTTTCTATGGTACCCTCATTGGTTTCATGGTGATTTAACCAACACAAAATGGTAGTGTACCATTAAGGATATAATGGGAATATAATGGAATATTAAAGGGATAGAATAGATTATTGATTAAATATGGAGATTTAATGGGGAAAATTGGAAGTATTCATTTTTATATGGTTTAAGACGGATAGTAATAGGATAATAACGGGCTATTTATAACTATACATGAATGGTTTTTTCTAATCCCATTCAGAAAGGATGTCACACGTGAAACATTTCAATATGTATTTTATATAGGTGCTAACTTGCTACTCTGCATCATAATACAGACAATGTAAGCATAGTATGGTAAATAGATTTGTCGTTTTTTACCAGCGTATTATACTAGATCCCCATGTAAATCCTGCTCCAAATGCAGTGCAAACAATTAAATCTCCTTTTTTAATTTACCTTTTTCTAACAAATCACTGATTGCAAGTGGTATGGATGCTGCAGAACAGTTTGCATGATTATGTATAGTTGATACTACTTTATCTTCTTTTATATGCAGCATTTTTGCTGTGCAATCTATAATTCTTTTATTAGCTTGATGAGGGATGAAAAATTTAATTTCTTCTAAATTAATATCATTTTTTTTAAGTATCTTTTTCGTTATAGAGCACAGCTCTTTTGAAGACGTTTTGCCCCTCCATGTGTATTGCTTTTTTACCTGATATATCAATATTTGTTACAAGAGCATCATGACAAGTGCCATCAGACTCTATTATTGTATCTATTATTTTAGATTGATTATTATCTTGTACTTTTTCTATCAAGACAGAGCTTGCTCCGTCTGCAAAAAGCACACAGGTGTTTCTATCTTGCCAATTAACTATAGAAGACATTTTTTCTGTGCATATTAGTAGCACAGATTGATATTTGTTTGCTTTTATTAGACTATCTGCCATTTCCAGCCCGTATATGAAGCCAGAGCATGCTGCTTGCACATCAAAAGCAGGCAGTGTTTTATGAGGGAAGATAGCTTTTTGTATTTTGCACGCAACAGAAGGAAAGTTTTGCTCAGAAGTGGTAGTGGCTGCTACTATTGCTTCTACTTTGTCACACACTGTAGATTGTATTAGTTTCCTTACAGATAAAATGCCCATATCAGATGTGGAAATATGGTCTGCTGCGATGTGTCTAAATTTGATACCAGTTCTTTCTATTATCCACTTGTGGCTAGTTTCTAGGTTGTTTTCCAAGTCATAATTAGATACTAAATTAGTGGGGAGCCACGATCCACATCCAACTATTTGGGAACCATACATACAGAGTGTCTTTAGAAGATTGGGTAAGAATTGATACTATAAAAAAAAAGTTATGTAGACTCTTCTGGTTGTTTTTGTTTTTCCTTTTTACGAAACGCAAATCTTCCTTTATATAATCCTTCTTCTACATCCAGGTGATGTGACATTCTGTATTTACCACTAGTTTTATCTTATAACATTGTGTTTAACCTCTAATTTGAGGTGTGCTCTTCTGTTATTACGTCTTGATTTGGAAGTTTTTCTTTTGGGGACTGCCATAATTTGACATGATTTTTTTTATTTAAAGTAGTTAGATTGTGGATGAAAAGCAGATAATTACAAGCTTTTTAAAGTATTTTTAGTGCTGCTAAAAGCAAAATTATATTAGTTATTGTATTTGTGTATGACTTATTTTTTATTGCTCTGCATTTTTCTCTATAAAATCATTTGTCAAAGTTGCTTAGGCACTATATTTATATTTATAATGTCATTTTATATACCTATGTCAAATTAAAATGTGAGATGAGCTACCATCATATGTTAGCAAAGCTATTATTAATTTTATCCACTTGTCTTTTGTCCGGATGTTTCCAAAAACTAAACATGAGAGAGTACAATTTTGGGTGTGTGGGAATTGATCAATATCTGTTAAATCTTTTTGTGTAGACGCCATTATTTCATGTCCATCCAGCAGTATGGATCCTATTTTGCATTGTGCTTCTGCTGTGTTAGAAGTTTTATTATCTTCATAATCTATGTTCCATTTGCTATTTTGTATTCCTGCTATCATTGAATGATTTACATTTTTAAGTGCTTTTGCGCCAATTTTGTTTGGTATGGAAAAAGCAATTTGCAACTCATGATTTTTGCCAGTGATTATTTCACCTGTCATCATCCCATTATCCATATTCGATCTCTACCAAAAATCACCATGTTGGTTGAACTGCTTGCACTACCCCCGCCGGCGGATCCCGTAAGTCTGATTCTTTTTCCCATCTTCACAGCAGCCGCAATGGCAGGCCATAGATACCAACATGGATATGATGGTCCGCAGCCTGAGTTATTTGATCCTTCAGTGAGGATGAACGGATTGGGGAAGCAATGTCATTGGATTAGATGAGTTTGGGGTTATCATTTTATTTCTTGGTAAATATATATAATATATAATATAATATATATATAATATATATAATTTAATATATAATATATATATTATATATAATATATAATATATAATATATATATAATATATATAATATATATAATATATAATATATATAATATATATAATATATATATAATATATATATATAATATATATAATATATAATATATAATATTCAATATATAATATAATATATAATATATACTGTATAAAATATAATGTAAAATATATAATATATAATATATAATATTTAATATATACGATATTTAATGATATATAATATTTATTATATGATATTATATATAATGTATTATATTATATATTATATATTATATATTATATATTATATATTATATATTATATATTATATAATATATATTATATATAATATTTCATATATAATATATTATATATGATGCATAATATAAAAAATAATATATAATATATAATATTTAATATTATATATAATACATTATATATAATATAACATATAATATAATATTTAATATAGTATATAATATATAATATATAATATATAATATATAATGTATAATACATAATATGATATATTTTATAATATATTTTATAATATATAATATAATATGTAATTTAATATATAATATAAAATATAATATAAAATATAATATTATATATATATATATATTATATTCTATATTATATATTATATATTGTATATTATTTATTATATATTATATATTATATGATATATAATATAAAATATGATATATAATATAATATACAATTAATTTTTAATTTAATATATAATATAATATATAATATAATATATTATATAATATTTAATATAAGATGTAATATAATTTAATTTAGTACAATATAATTTAATATAATATAATATAATATTATTTTTATTATAATATAATATAATATCATATTATTTTTATTATAATATAATATAATATAATATAATTTTATTTACAATTTAATATATATAATATTATATAATATATATTACAATATTTTTTTAATATAATATAATATATAATATAATATATAATATAATAAAATATATTATTATATTATATAATATTATATAATCTAATATAATATTATATTATATTATATTATATTATATGTAAATATATACATGTCCCAAGAACAAAGCAAAACCTGTTTCTTGCAGGAGATCCAGAAACTGTATGCCTTGTGTTTGCCATTTTACTGAAGGCCTCGCAAATCCTAAAGGATGTGGTCCCTGGTTTTGACCCCCTACCCCGTACATCAGTGAGCAAGTGGCAGTGTCTTGACAAAGATGCGAAAAAAATCAGCAGAGGCTCCTTTAGTAAAGGCAGGCGAGTGATTCAGTTCGGAAGGGACTTTGCCTGATCCAAGGTATTTCTTTCAAAAACCATGGTTTATATAGTACTGGATCTATTCATGAGTTGGGGACAAATATTAGGGGATGGGATTATGGTTTCGCGAATTGTTCGTTTTTTGATTGTCACACCTTTCCTGCGCTTTTCTGATCTTCTGTAAAGGAGGGAACGCAGAACCCCTGCCCTTACAAGGTGGCGCCCCCAGTGATGTTACCCCAAGGAACAGAACATATTTTTTTTTCATAAGCCTTATCTCACTATGGCGGATGTTTTTTGTTGGTTACTGATCATGTTTCCTATTGAAATAGTTGTGAACATATTCCCAAGTAGTGGACAATCACGCATATTTATCACCCTTACCCTCCATTACATTAGCATAGATGTCGAACATCTACCATGAATGTAGATCCTTTTTCTTCATCAACCATTTGTTTTCCAGATTTGTTTCTACGCTCACCCTAAGGTAAATTCCTCATTAACAAACTGAACAAATCCATAGAAATTCCCATGAAATTCCTCATCACATTCCCATCTAAAATCTGAAAGTCCCATATAAATCACACCAACTAAGTCCCAACTAAGTCCCTATTTGTTGATTCAAAAAATCCGACCGAAAAAACTCCAGGGCGTGACGATTTTGCAGTCTGCCGCCTTGGCCTTTTTCGTGACCACCGCCCTGACGGTCGGCATCGGATTCGGCCTCGGCACCGCTGTGCCCTGGCGTCATCAATCAGGTACCATTTGGTTATGTCAAAACCATGGGATCCATAGGAAAACCATAGGAAAACCATAGGAAAACCATAGGAAAACCATAGGAAAATGGAGGTTTACCCTATGGTTATGTCAACAGTTTGCTATTGAAAATAGCCCATAGAAATAGTGGATTTACCTATTCAAAATGGTGATTTTCTATAGTTATGTGGCTGTTTACCAGAGGGTAATCAATCTTAGATCATCTTAGATCTTAGTGAATCTGAGTGAATCTGAGTGAATCTGATATATTCTTGGTTCACCTTATATCATGTCAGTTAATCTTAGTTAGCCTTATATATATATATATACATATACGGTTTTATGTGAGATAGTTTAGTTAATCTTATGCGTTCTTGGTTCGTCTAAGATAATCTTACTTGTTCTTTGTTAATCTTAGTTATAATCCAATATTTTTGTTTATTTCATTTTAGTTAATCTGGGCAACCCGGTAAGCCCAATGCAATAAACCTTCAGTTTTGGAAGTTTTATACCATGTCTGGTGACATTTTTTTGGAATTGGGGATGGTTTACATTTGATTTACCATATCTTAAGTATGCTTGGTTGTAAATTCCCGATATCTCATTGGTTCATCCACTGTTCTTATTGGTTCCTAGCATCCTGGTCCTAGCTGGGCCCCCAGACCGTCTGAGGTCTCGAGTCCTCTCAGGGAACTCACCTTCCTGTTGCGGCGCCTGGGGCATTTGGACTTTGGACGATTTGGGGTCTGCCTTCAGGCAAATTGGTGGGGCCGGGGTCGGGGTTGGGGGGAGTAGCTACTCCACTAGTGAAAAGATGGCCATTTTTAGAAGTTTGATGATTGATCATGGGGAAGTTGTGAGGTTTTAAACCGAGAGGGATTTTTTGTTGGTATATTCAGCCATATTTAGCCCATGTGTTGCAAAGTAAACATAGATAAAGGGAGGAGCTATTTGGGAGTGACGGTATACAGTTCCAAAGGTGGAGGGAAAAAGACGCCCAGAAGCCATTGTTTAGGAGGGGATTCGCAAAAACATGGGGGGTTCCTGAGTCATAGGGGTACCACCAAAAATCATCGTAGGATTTCCCTCAAAAAAACCCTCCAGCTATTGGGGTACCCCCTATGGAAATCATGGGAAATCCCCATATTTTGGACCATCGGATGGGATATCTCTGGACATCACTCGAAGTGCGGGGTCAAAACATGTCAAACGCCGCCGAAAGGACCGAACGATTGGGTTCAACGCTGGGGGCTTTAAGGTGGCTCCATGTTTCTTTTATTGAGGTGTTGAATGATTGTTCTGGGTAAATTATAACGACATCACTGTTCTCCCTCACTGGAATCATGGTTAGTAAGGGGAATCATCCCAAAATGGCCTTATTTCAGGTTAGTGAAATATTTTAATTTACCCAGATTGTTGGATATTTGATGATATTTGGTATGTCGCAGAGTTTGACTGTTGTTGTTGTTGTTGCGCATAGTTGTTACTCTTCTAGTAAATTCTGTGACCTATGATTTATCCATCATAAATCATCATATCTAGATATATCTATCATAAACCATCATAAAGCCAAGTTAGTCATAGTTCGTCAATATACTTGACGAATCAACTGAGCTTGGCCATCCCCACAAGTGGCTCGGCATCCGGCATCCTCCGGCTTTCGCGGTGCAGGCGAAAGCTGGTAGCAGTATCCGTGATATCTGCGAGGTGCAGGATGCGTCTCTCGTCGAGGGGGACGGTGGATTGATGGGACGAAATACGAGTGATCCGAAAAACGAATAGATAAGGAGAATCCCAGTATACAAATAGTTATACCATTCACTTTTCTAGAGTCATTTACTGGGCTACTTTAGTAACTTTAGTAAGAACTGCTCGTTTGGTTTTGGGAATTTATTTACTAGCCAGCTACCCTCTGGTAAACTAACATAGCAATGGAAAATCACAATTTTTCATGGGAAAATCAACTATAAATGGTCATTTTCAATAGCTATGTTAAATTACCAGAGGCTACATGTTTTTCGGCATATCTAAACTTGGCTATGATTCATCAAGCCGGTGAGATGTTCATCGTGTCGCCAGAGACCCTTGAAAGATATGGAGATTTTGCAGCTGAGCAGGTTTTATTACAGTACTGTTTGTTGTTATGAAAAATCATGGACATGGCCATTTAAGTGGTGATAATAACTAATAGCAATTGATTGACATGCATGATTGTACCGTTTAACTTAAACCGCGAAAAACCATACAACGTGTACTTTCCTAGTTAGGTATGTTGGTTTATAAACCAAATTCAACTCTATCCGCCGTAAATCCAACAGTTATTCTGGTGATCAACCAACTTTCCAATATTTTCCAATCATACATCAGCTATAATCCAATGTAAGTTTGGAAGCTTACTGTAATAATCCCCATGTAAATCGTCATCTCTTGCCTTTTGCACTGCTGATCGCTGAGGTTCTGCCGTTTATCCATGGGCATACAAACCTTTGCTCGTTTCGTGCCGGAGGCCGTGGTGCGGAATATCATCAAAGGCCTGGTTGATTGGTGAATTTGTTGGGACTTTTGCAAGCTATCCGGCCTGGTAAACAGCCACATAACTATGGAAAGATCCACCATGCTATTAATGGGAAAATCAACTATTTCGACTGGGACATTTTCAATAGCTATGTTAAATTTACCAGAGGGTAATTTGTTATGATAACCCGTAGGAGGGAAACCGTTTTCAACCAACTAGTATTTCATGGGATAGGCCGGGATAGGGGTATTTTGAATGGCTCACCTGTTGATCATAGCTTCAGAGGTTAGCTTTTGTGAGTTTTAAGCATCAAAACGGAGATGTCATTGCTAAATGGTGGCTTAATGGTGGTTGGTTAATGAATATTGAAGGGATTATTTATATATATACTACCGTACCCTATGTATAATATATTCGGCATTATCATAATCCATGGAAATCTCGTTCTTAACCGAGCCGTATTTCATGGAATGACATTGCAGGTTTAGAACACTGCTCAATTAGGTCAGACATGGCTTTGGTAATTGATCAGTGGGTAAAATTATGTTTTCCACCAATGTACCCTATCGGGTAGCTCATTCTTTAACCAGGTAACTGGTACACTCTGAATAGGATCTTGTATTGCATGTGGTTGTTGGAAAAATAGTAAAAAATGTATGTCACGCATGATTTCATGAATTTTCCCTGCTTCACTGAACGGGTTCTACTGGTTACTGGTGCAAGCAAAAGTGCAATGTTGGAGCACGGAGTCCTGGTATGGGCCCATAGGCAAGGTGGGAAAACATCCCAGGCATTCTAAGACCATCTCCTTTGTTCATGAAAGGTGGGCTATATCCGTTTATTGGATGTGAATTCAGGCATTTGGAGAGACGTCAGAGTTTTTTCAAGATAGCTGACCTGCAGGGGACCAGACTAAGTAACTTAGCATAACTTAGCGCTCACATTCCAAAAATTGTCAAAGATTGACCAAAAAAAGGAAGTCCACATTCCAATATTTCAGGATTAAATGGCAATTCCATACAATTTGAGTAATAGCAATAAGTCAAAGCTTGTGGGCTTGTGCCTCCCAAATTGGAGAGTTTCATGCTGTGGCAGGCCCAGTAATAAACATCAATTGGGGGTCATTTTATATCATCCCCAGTGGTATACCCAATAGTATCCCAATAGTAAACATCTATCTGGGTATATTATAACGACCTCATTGTTCTCCCTCACTGGAATCATGGTTATATAATTAGGGAAATCATCCCCAAAATGGGAATCTCTGAGAGAAGACACTACTGAAACAACACAGCTATGCCTGCACCGGCGCGCCATGCGACCGGGAAGTCTGGTCCACAAGCTGTTGCTCCGGGCTCATCCAGATCATCCCCCAAGTGGGCGCTGACTATGGTGCAACACCTACTGACCATACCTCACAGACTGGGGATTGAAGGTCGAGCAGCGGGAGCTATAGCAACAAGCTCCCTGTTCCCGAGAAGATGCCATGTCAAAGGCTGCAGGTATCCCATCAAATCCCTATGATTCATATCCCCATTGGGGTTGCTTGAATCACCATAAGATCCAGCATCATTAAGATAATCTTAATACATATATATATATATATGTGTATATATACATTGTGATTTTCCACACTTGTTCATACCGATGTCCTTGATGTGAGATGCCTGCAACTTCAGTGTTCATGTCCCGTGACTTCCCGATCAAGTCCATGGGAGGGTGCGGAAGCGGAACCGTTGGACGGTACATGGCTGAGTGGTGAAATAGCGCTGCGGCATCTGAACAGGGTTCATCTGGTCTTGGACGGGGTCCATTATCTTTAGCTGAACAGGGTTCATCTTTTCCTTGGTTTGGGATCATTGGATTTCATATACAACAACATCATCTTTCTCAGATCAACAGGGTTGATCCTTTGTGGGCCTTTTGATTTTGGACCGTTGGCGAAGCTCCCAGTGTGTGAGGCCCTAGGCCTTTCACACTGGTAGCGGAGCTACCAAGGCTCCGGTGTTGTGCACCGAAAGAGTGTAGATCCAGGGAGGAGCCAAAAGTTTTGATTGCACGTTGAAAATGCCTCCGCCAACAACCGATGGAGAGAGTACCGGTGGTCTGGGAGTTCCTCTTCCTGATAATGCAGACTTAGGGGGATCTCAGATGAATGCCACCCCTCAACCTCCATGGCAAAGCATACCGAAATTCGTTCCTGGCACCACCAACGTTCAGGAGTATGTGCAGAAGTTGAAGTTTCTGGCGGCAATGTGGCCGGCAGAACATCTTCCCCAATTAGCTCCTAGAGCTGCCTTATTGGTGGAAGGTACAGCTTTCAAGAAAGTGGCGCGTTTAGATCCGAGCAAGCTCAAGGTGGCCAACCAATCAGGGATAGCGTTGCTGGTTGATGCAATAGGTGGTTCATGGGGTTCAACAGAACTTGAAGAGCGCTATGAGTACTTCGAGCGTGCCTTGTATGGGACAGTGCAACGACATGATGAGAGCCATGACTCCTTCCTAGCCAGGATGGAGGCCAACTTCGTGGAATTGCTGTCGCGAGGGACTACGCTTGAAGAGGTACAGGCGTATGTGCTGTTGCGCCAATCCACCTTGCCGGCCGAAGACAAAAAGAGAATCTTGCTGGAACACGAGGGTGAACTTCGATACAAACCAGTGGTCAAATCTTACAGGCTTTTGGGAAGCAAGTTTTTCAGTGAATTTCAATCTGGAAAGAGCTCCAACAAGACCAAAGTGTATGATGTTAACATGTCCGAGACTCCAGATTCAGAGACGACTGATGCTCATGATCGAGCCTTCCATGCCTACGCAGAAGATCTTGACCAAGATCTGGATTTTGAAGTGATTGAGGCCCTTGCGGCCCAAGAGGACGCAGATGCCTTGACCATATGTGCCTTCGAAAACGAGTTGGAGGAGTTCATGCAAGAGACTCCCCAGATGCATGAGGCGATGGTGACCTACATGGAGGCCAGAGCTCGATTACTGGAGAAGCGCAAGAATCGTGGCTTCTGGCCCACCAAGGGACGCGGCAAAGCGTTCAAGGGTGGAAAGTCGAAGGGGAAGCGTTCACGTGATTGTGAACAGCTTCTGGCTCGTATCTCAAGATCTCACTGCCGAAAATGCGGAGCTCTGGGACATTGGAAAGCCGAGTGTCCACAGAACAATGTGGACAAGTCTTCTGGTGCCGGTGCAACTGCCTCGGCCAACGTAGCCGTGAATGAAACCGAGCCCTATGCGGACGAGGTGTACTCTGAGACTGAGGACGCATGTGACCACCAGGCCGGGATCCAAAAGGAAATTTCCATGATGACCGAAACATGTTTCATGGCCATGTCTCAGGTAACAGATGAAGACCGACACCGTCTGCAGTCCCGTATGTCCAGTTTTCTCCAATGTTGCCGATCTCGTCCTGATCCAAAGTCTGGGGTAAATAAACGGGGCATAAGTAAGTGGGATTATAAAGGGATTAAGCATCCGTCACAGCCTGCCTTCCGAGATCAGTGTCTGAGGGTGCTAGAAAATCCAAAGACTTCCAGCATGTACAGCCACTCCACTGTGCCCAGGAACCCACCTGAAATCCTGATGCAGCCGTTGGTGACAGATGTCAACCAGGCTGAACCGATCGAAGAATCAGTTCTGATTAGTACCATGGATGCCCGCTCCTCTCACGCCATTTTGGACACAGGAGCAAGTAGATGCATAATCGGTGAAAAGACGTTGCAAGCTCTGAAGGGTTGCCTTGCAGTAGACGTTCAAAGCAGGTTGAAGACCAGTCCAAGCAAGATCAAGTTCAGATTTGGAAACAATCAGACTCTAACCAGCTCATACCGTGTTCATTTTCCACTGAAGGCTCAAGACAGTAGAACGGTTTGGTTGGCAGTTGAGGTTGTCGAAGGGGCAACTCCTTTCTTATTTTCCAAAAGAGCATTCAAATTGCTTGGAGGGTCATTGGACACCACCACAGACACCTGCTGTATGCACCGTTTGCACTCCGAAGCCATCCCTTTAGAAGTAAGTCGTACGGGGTTATATCTTATCAATATTGGTGACCTTTGTCAAGGGGATCAAAATGATCATGTCAAATGTTCAGTAGCCTATGTTGGGGAACCATGTCCTGGAAAAACTCCAATGCATGCAGGGATACATGGGAAGAACATGCAGCGCAATGTACAGTTTTCATTTCGTCACCAAGCCGGAAAGCCTTTCCGAACCAAAAATGCCACGACAGCCGTGTCAGATCCAAACCATTCCAGCTTTTTGCAGAACGTGCCAACCGAGACGCCTCACCATGCCGTCTTCCGTCACACTTTTCAAGGCCGTTGCCGAAGCCTTGATTCAAGTGATGACCATGCTGCTACAGATGTTGATTCAACATCTCGAAGTGCAGACGGACCCACACGATCCGAACGAAGCTCCCCTGGAAACGAGCCAGCAGATTCAGCTCATGATGGAGGAGCTCCACAGCCAAAAGGCTACATTGGATCAAGTTCTGCAACAACGGAAGTCCGATCAAGTCTCAATGGGAAAGACCAAGACGGGTCAGTCGAGTCAAGCTGCCCGCTGCAAGATCGCCACAAGGACTCCTCAGGCCGCAGTTCAATCTGGAACTGGGAGCAATCGAAAGATGATGTCTCCCGGCGCAAGTTCTACGCCAATGATGTGGTGCTTGGACGAGTCCGACGAGGACGTGCTGGTGGCCGAAGAGGAGCTCGAGATTGTGGAAACCACCACAACACAGATTCCTCGAATCTCAGTGGTGGAGCGCTCAGCCAGCGACTCATCCTCCCTTCGAAGATTGGGGCAAGCATGTGATCACTTGGGGCAAGAAACACAAGGACAAGACCTTCGAACAGGTGATGATCATGGACGTGGGCTATTTCGAATGGTGCCAGAGGCGTTACACCTCACTGGTACCCGAGATGAAGGAGTTTGTCAGGTACGGCCAACTTCGTCTGACGCGCTTGGCGGCAGAGAGCTCAGCAGATTTGGCCTGAATGATCCAGATTTCCACAAAGAAATTCAACAAGCCCGTCAAGATCTTCAGAAAATCAACAGTTCCGATAACAAAGATACCTCCACTTTGGTTGACAGTGTTTTGAAAGCAGAGTCCATCTTTGATCAACATATGTGTGAGCGTCAGAAGTTTTCTCGGTTTTCCAAAGATCGCCTGTTTTTGCTGGAAATCTATGCAGAAAGCCATAGCCCTCTTACCGATGCGGTGAGAAATTTGGGCCTGCCAAGCCGTAGATTCACGAAGGTAGATGGAGATCTGTCGACCATCTCAGGTCGTGCCAAACTCTGGAATTTAATTGAAGAATACCAGCCCGAACACATTTGGGTAGCCCCAGAATGTGGTCCATGGAGTGGATGGAACAGATTAAACCAAAGCAAAAGTTTAGACATGTTTGATGACATACAGCTCAAACAGAACCAACAAATGCCTCATTTACAACTTTGTACAAAACTTTGCAAATATCAAGTCACCCGAGACCGACATTTTCACATGGAACAACCAAAAGGATCAGGAGCTTTGAAACAAGAGATCATCAAACCGATCTTTCAACATGCCTGCATTGCCACTTTTGACATGTGCCGCTTTGGTTTGAGACTTCCCAAGACCAACAAGTTCCTGAAAAAGGGTAGCGTTCTTGTTACCACCTCACAGCCGATGTTTGAGATTTTAGATGGTCAAAGATGTCCACAGAACCACAGCCATCAGCGCATTGAGGGAAGTTTTCAACATGATGGAATGAGCACGAGGATGACTCATTTCTGCGCGTCTTACTGCCAGGGCTTTGCGAAGACAGTAGCCAAGTTTTTGTGCCAACTGAACCACAGTCACTGGAACTCCCAAGATGCCATGGTGCATGATTTGGATATCGACGAGCCACCTGCCAAACGCATCCGTTTCAGTTTTAACCTGTCCAAGCATAGGAAGCCTGATCGTTCCATTGACCTTGATCCAGAACAAAGCCAAGCTCCAATACCCATGCCTGAAGACCCAGGTGAGATGTCTTCCAAAGATGATGGTAACCACATGAGTCCATGGTTCGATGTCCTACAGCTGGCACAAAAGAATGCACCACGGGTAGGAAACTCGCGCTGTCCCGCAGATTCGGAGCTGTTTAACATGGCCAAAGCACTTCTGAATGACATGGTTTTAGAGAGTTTGTTTATTTGCAGAGGAACAGAACGATTCCAGGTTCCTGTTCAAGCTCCTGCTTCACATGCATGTCCACTCAGGCGTACTATTTGTGTTCATCGACAAACAAATGAAGTCCACGACCTAGGAACCGAAGACTGGCATTGCATGACCCGAGCCAGAAGGATACGGAACTGTTTACCGAGCAAGATCACTATCACCATGTTTGGTTCAAAGAAGACAGACGAATCTGCCAATGCTGAACTTCCTCAATCGAGCCGAGATGGGACAAACCTGGTCTCCAGAAATGAGACGCTACCAAGTGATGAACGCCCATCTGCCATCCGAGTGAGTCATGAAAGTCAGTTGCCACCAAGCGTAACTGAGCGGACTCCCAATCAAATGTGTGAAGGCTGGGCACCTCCACCTATAGCTCTTCACGGACCCAAATTCAGACTACTGAGTGATGTTGAGAAAAGTGATTTGATAAAGGTGCACAAGAACCTGGGCCATCCGGATCCCACACAACTAGCTGCTCACCTTCAACAGTTAGGAGCCAATCCTAAAATAATTGAAGCTGCTCGAGAGTTCGTGTGTGATGCTTGTGTGGAATCCAGTGCCTTCCGACATCAGCGTCCTGCTCAGCTGCATGATGCGGCTGAGTTTAACGATACAGTTGGCATTGATGGCTTCTTTTGGACTGGACGAGCCGGTTTCCAGGTCATGGTTTTTCACTGCATTGATGAAGCTTCTTTATTTCATCTGGGTCGCCGTTTGGAGAACAGAAATTTGGAACACGTTATCCCAGCTCTGTCAGACATGTGGCTGTCATGGGCCGGCAGCCCTGCCAACTTGTACTCTGATCCAGCTGGTGAGTTTGTGTCTGACCAATGGCTCAGTTTCTTGCAGAGCCATAGCATTTCTCCGAAATTATCCACTGAGTCTTGGCAGAAAGGTAGGGTGGAGCGACACGGTGCCCTAGTGAAAGAAATGCTTAAAAGATATGACATGGAGAAAACCATACAGTCCGTTCAAGAGTTTGATATTGTTCTCAGAGCCTGCTTTCAAGCCAAAAATGCACTCAGTAGACACCGTGGATACTCGCCTGAACAGATTGTTTTGGGCAAAGCCGCTCGCCTACCAGCCTCACTGTCCTCAGATGAAACACTCAGCTCTCACAGCATGGCCACTGGAGAAGACCTGGAGAGTGAAAGGTTTAGACAACAGCTAGAGATACGTACAATAGCGCGTAAAGCCTTTTTGACATCTGACAACAGTGAAGCTATCAGAAGAGCTCTTCTGCGTAGATCATGTCCAGTTAGAGGTCCATTTGAAGCAGGTCAACAGGTGATGTACTGGAGAAAAATCAACAGAGCCAATAGACGAGAAGGAGGTCGCTGGCATGGGCCTGCACGAGTGGTAAGTCAACAAGGGTCTTCCACAGTCTGGATTGCTCATGCTCACAGACTCCTGAAGTGTGCTCCAGAAAGTCTCAGGCCTGCCTCGTTGCGAGAATGGCAGGGAAACATGGAACCTCTTTCACAGATGTTGCCACAAACTTCCGAAACCCAGCAACATGTTCCCCAGTCACATGTACAATCAGAAATCCCAGAAGCCATGGAATATTCACCAGGTACCCCAATAAGTAATTTACCTTCTCCACATAGCCACCACACTAGTGTCCAGCCTGAAAGTGAAACGTTTCCGGAAGTACCTGATCATGGATCGCAACAGACGACCTACGAAAATTCCGACAATGCTGCCGATCCACCAGCTGCCACTGAGGCTGAATTTCTGGAACCGCCAAATGTTCCTGCACAGGATCCACCAATTGATCTGGATGACATAGATGATGATCTTCTGTGCGAAAAGGTTCTCTGGTGTAGTGATGTTCCAGACCAAAATCCATATGACGAGCCTCTTCACGAATGGATGTGTTTTCAGCCTGGGGATCAACACAATGAGATTTGTCTTGCTGATGATGACATGCCTATGTTGGAAAATCCTCTTGAACCTAATGATGAACAATGTTACATGCTGGAGGTACCTATGTCACGACAAGATCTCATGAAATGGTCCTGTGATAATCATCCTGAAGAAATGGCGGCCGTTGCGAGTGCTGGGAAGAGAGCACGTGCGGAAGTGCAACTCAAAGATTTGACATCAGCAGATCGTCACCTTTTTGATATTGCCAAGGACGCAGAACTCACATGCTGGCTTCAGACAAGTGCTCTCAAGCCCATCCTCAGAAAGTCTTTGAATCCCGAGCAAATTTTGCGGTCCCGCTGGGTGCTGACCTGGAAGCCTGTTGAAGGACCAGATGGCAACGTGCAGGGTCGTAAAGCCAAAGCCAGATTAGTAGTACTTGGATATATGGATCCCAGATTGACTGATGTAGCCCGAGATGCACCAACCTTGACCCGGGAGGGAAGACATACGATCCTGCAACTCATCGCTTCCAAGAGATGGGTTCTATCCTCATTTGATATCAAGACAGCTTTCTTGAGGGGACGTGCCGATGACGCAAATCCACTTGCTATGGAACCCCCAAAAGAATTAAGACAAAGACTTCAACTCGAGGATAACCAAGTGTGTTCATTGATTGGGAATGCTTATGGCCGAGTAGATGCTCCCTTACTTTTCTATAAAGAACTGACGCAACAACTTCAACGTCTTGGATTCAAGCCTCATCCATTAGAGCCTTGCATACACTACCTTGAAACCCAGGTAAGTGGAAAAAGGATTTTACATGGTGTCTTGGGAACCCACGTGGACGATGGAGTATGTGGCGGGGATTCAACTTTCATCAGAAAATTCAGGAACTTCAGACTCGTTTGCCTTTCGGTGCTTTCAAACAACGAAAGTTCACTTTTACTGGCATTTCCCTAGAGCAAACTCCAGATTTTGGTATCACAGCTTCACAGCAGGATTACATCCATGGAATCCTCCCTATAGAAATTGGTAAACAGCGCAGAAGTTTTCCAGAACAAAGTGCGAGCGAAGGTGAGAAGTCAGCTCTCCGAGGATTGATTGGAAGTGTCCAATACGCAGTGACCCATACGAGGCCTGACTTAGCTTCAAAGCTGGGAGAAATTCAAGTCCAGATTGCACGACCAACCGTGAATACACTACTGCTAGCGAATAAACTCTTGAGAGAAGCCCAGGAAACCAGTGACACTAAGATCCATTTTCGGTCAATTCCTGTTGATAACGTTACTCATGTAGTATTTGGCGATGCCTCCTTTGCAAGTCCCAAACAACTGTCATCTTTCCAAGGAACCATTGTATTTGCAACGACCCCAGAACTTCAAGAGAACATCACAGCACCTATCAGTCCGTTAACCTGGTCATCCAAGAAAATTGCAAGAGTGGTAAGATCAACTTTATCTGCAGAGGCTTTCTCGATGTCACGTGGAGTAGATAAGCTTAGCTGGATGCGTTTACTGTGGGGTTCATTAGTGATTAATGACTTCGACTGGCGCCAACCTCCAAAAGCTTTGAAGGAACTTCATCGTGCTATAATTGTCACGGATTGCAAATCCTTATTCGATTTAGTAACTCCAACAGCGATGCCATCATGTGAGGAGTACAGGACAACCTTGGAAGTTCTCCTTATCCGTGAGCTATGTCATGAGAATTGCCATTTCAGGTGGATTCCTACCGCCTTACAACTTGCAGATCCACTGACCAAACCTATGGATCCCACGATTCTACGTGTGGCACTTGCGGCTGGAAGTTTTCAACTGTTTGATGAGCAATCCAGCTTACAGACGAACGCACATAGAAAGCAAGCTGTCTCATGGCTTCAAGGGCAGAAGAGGAACTCACATCAATAGAAAGTTTCGGGAGTGTGATTTTCCACACTTGTTCATACCGATGTCCTTGATGTGAGATGCCTGCAACTTCAGTGTTCATGTCCCGTGACTTCCCGATCAAGTCCATGGGAGGGTGCGGAAGCGGAACCGTTGGACGGTACATGGCTGAGTGGTGAAATAGCGCTGCGGCATCTGAACAGGGTTCATCTGGTCTTGGACGGGGTCCATTATCTTTAGCTGAACAGGGTTCATCTTTTCCTTGGTTTGGGATCATTGGATTTCATATACAACATCATCTTTCTCAGATCAACAGGGTTGATCCTTTGTGGGCCTTTTGATTTTGGACCGTTGGCGACGCTCCCAGTGTGTGAGGCCCTAGGCCTTTCACATACATAATATATATATATATACACATAATATTTGTATATATATAATGCACATACTGGTAACAATAATCTTTTCTGCCCCCAGGAGCTCCCAAAGGGATCATTTGTTCTTTTTTTTTTACCACAGTGCCAGGACCACCAGTGCTTGCGCAAAAACAATGCATGCTTTCTAGTGTTTTATCATCAACAAGTTTTGCTAAAACAGACACACACACACCAACTTTCAAAATCGTCCATATTAGGATGGTGGATTGTTTTCAAATATCCAGAATGATTTGTTTTCATAGTGATATGTTATGAAAATTCATGATGTGTTGTTTGGGTGTGTATCCTCAACATCCTCACCATAATCACCCACATCATCATCATCATCACCACCATCATCATCACCATCACCATCACCATCACCATCATCATCACCACCATCATCATCACCATCACCATCACCATCATCATCATCATACATTTTCCTCCCACTTCCCCACACTGTTTGGGATCTCTTGCCGGGATAATGTCAAAGCCGTGACAGGTGATTGCCGCGCTGCCAGGTCGCTGGGGGGACCGATTGGCACTTTACCATGGATTTACTATTTACCCGTAGCCTTTAAAATTTATAAGTCCCAATTACCAACAATTGGTGATTATATGTAAATCATATTATATATATGTATACGTTTATATATATATATATTTAAAACAACTACGAGCTCAATAAAGATTTACCCGTCAAAGATATGGGTTTGATTGATACGTTGTTCAATATAAGGTTCACTGAATCACTGAATGGCATGCCACCATGATTGCTAGTGCTGCAAAGGAGAAACAATAAACGCTTCATGGTCATAGCTTTGCTGGAAATCGGTTCTGGATTCAGTGCTGGGTCAATTTCAGTGCAGAAACTTATGATAGATATGAATTACCAGTGTCAATCAAAATGGGGCAACCAACTGGATAATTTAGTTCTTCAATATCTTGTCATTTTGATGGGTTGTTATGCACAAAGCAGCAAAACAAGGGTGGGATTGGCCATGAATTCTTCATTGCTGGTGCTATATTTTCCCATCCTCGATCAGGATAATCATATTTTCAGATCAAAGTAGAACAGGATGACACAAGACGAAATGAGTCGTGTGTCACAGCTTGATCTTTTTACGCAACGTGCACATGTCCATGTATACGCATAATATGGGTGTTTCCGTAAATGGGAGATCCCCAATAGCTGGATGGTTTATAATGGACAATACTATTAAAATGGATGATTTGGGGGTACCCCTATTTCAGGAAAACCCCATATGTATATATATATATGATTGTTTATGTTTTTTCCATGGTTGGCGAGACACATATTGCCGTTCTTGGTCTTCCCAACTGAAATGACTGCCACATCCTGTGTCTGGCTGAAAGAATTATCATAGTCACGGCAACTCAATGATCCGAAAAGACGGGCATATCCAAGTGTTCCAGTTGTCTCCCACCAGCTCCAAACACTCTTCAGAGAGAGGCTCCATGTCACGAAGAGAGATGCTGAGCAGCAAATGAGATGTCACACTTCAAACCTTTCTGGGTTTCCAGTGATTTGCCTTCAAAAGAGGACCGAAACTGTTTGGGGCTTCATAAATAGTCTATATACAAGGGTTCGTTTATTGAATGTGATTGATTTTTCAACTTGTTGATGGCAACAAAAAGGTTGGCTATTTGAGCATCCGCAAGTTCGAAGGTGTCAAAATATCTGGAAACAGTTGAGATGATAGAAGACGTGCGATTTCTGACTATTTCTGATTCATGGATGATGTACGTATATGTACGTACTACGACGTGGTCCTGAAACGACGTGGCGTGGCAGGGTTCAACAAACGCCACCCAGTTTGCATCACGTGTGCGTGGTAAGGAAGTGACGATCATGTTCTCTGATATCAAGGACCGCGATGTTTTTCATTTCTCTGGGCTGCAGGACTGGTGGAACGTTTATCACAGTATACCCTCTGGTAAATTAACATAGCTATGGTAAATGGCCATTTATAGTGGATTTACTCATTGAAAATGGTGATTTTCCATAGCTATGTTAGTTTACCAGAGTGTAATCATGAAAATTTAAAGCCTCATAAGTTGGATTATAACGTTAGAACTATGGATATATACAGATTATACAGTATCCACTTCTAACTGGAAATGCACTTCCAAGTATAGCCTCACTGCGACCACACTGGACCACTGGATGAAGGTTTATATATTGGCAACTTTCCAAAATGGCCGAACCTTTGTCAGGCAATTATGATGAATTTTCGCAAGATGTTTCTTTTACTTGCAGCCAGATGACACTGTCACTAGGTTTATGTATTCAAATGTGTGAAAGTTTCCGAGAATTCATTGGTTTTGGGTACCATTTGGTAAATTAACATGGACCCGGAAAAGAACAAATTGTTAGTGGATGTTCGAACCACTATCTGCCAGGGTCTACGTTATTTCACTGGAGGATATATTATAGTCATTTCTTTACCAGCTGACCATGTTTTGATGTGTCATTTTCCTGCAAGCAATTCAGGGTCACATGATCATCATGATCCAGCGCATGTCAGATACAGCAAAGTTGTCAGATTCTCATAAGATGAGGTCATCCTGGTCTTGTTGGTTTATGTTACCCCATTTACAGATATTGACTACAATCCAGTTGTGAGCCTAGTGAAATAGACTAGGTTGCCTATCATGTTTGGCTTTATTCGGACCCCCAACCGCTGTTTTCCGATGAACAGATTCACCAAGACGCATGGCGAAGATATGTCGTTGTGCTCCCCAAAAAGGACTTCACCGCGATGTCAGAGACGATGAAGCAGACAGACCTGATCTTTCTCTTGACGCGATACCTGTCCTTCGGCAGCAGATTCATCGTCCCGCCGGAAAGTTAGTGCAACCCCCCCCAAAAAAAACACAAAGAGGTAAGGATTAATGATTAATGATGTCAATGTAGGATTCAATCACCCCAAGTCAACTCCAAGTCGATTTCCTGTGCAATATATAAGAGTATACTGTAATATGATCTATAATTAATGGAGTTTGGAACTCATTTGAACTCTTTACTAGTTCTTTTTCCCGGGCAGTGCTCAGCTATCCCTTGTTAGGTCAACACCTCGGTGGAACGAAAAGCTGCAGATAGCCTTCGGTAACATGGCCATGGAAATATCTTCCATTTAGTTCAATGATTTTTCCCAGCTAGAAACATATTAAAACCTCCATTTAGTTCGATTTTGATTGCCACGTTTGATTACCGGAGGGTAAATACCTTGCTTGCCTGTGGAATTTCCGAGGATGAAATATCCATTGAGTAAATTGAGTATCCCTTTTCTGGCTCGATCCATGTCACTTTTTTGTTGCGATCGCGATGCACCTAAAAAACCTCCATTTGCTTCCATTTGCGCTCCATTTCGCCCGAAAATTTTCGGGATTCCTATGGATTCCTTGTGCAGGTGAGTAAGGCGGGATTCACCCAATGACCGCTATAAAAACCATCCCCAGGTGATCACCATTTTTATGGTTTGTATGAACCATTCCGAAATGGGAGGTTTATGGCATTGGATTATCACATTAAGCGACTCTTAACCTCTTATAAAATCTCATGAAAGAGCCCTGGGCTACTCCTAACAGGGCCACTCCTAAAAGTTGCTATACTTCCAAAAAGAAATCTTAAAAAAACAAGAAAACATTCCAAACAAATAATCCAACAATTCAAAAAATAACTCGAATCGAAACCTAAAAAGAACAAAAACACTGTCAAAAAAAACATGAAAACAAAAAAATAGTAAAAAATCATCAAGACATATCAAAAAAGTCCAAACAATATCCAAAAAAACATCAAACACGTTCAAAAAAATCAAACAAAATCAAACAAGTTCAAAAGAACAAAAATAAATACTTAAATTTTAAAGAAAAAACATTAAAAAAAAACAAAAAAAACAAAAAACCAAACAAAATCAACAAAAAAACAAAAACTTCAAAAAACACAATAAAAAAGAATCCAACACAAATCACACAAAAAGAAGCCAGAAAACTATTTTAAGATTATGAAGAAAAATATTTAAGTACTTTTGTAAAAATAACCTAAACAGTATAAATGAAGATATTTATTTCGAATGAAATATAGTTTTTTGGAATGAAATGGAATTATTTGGAACGGAATTGAATTATTTGGAATTAAACTGAATGAAAAGGAATGTTTTAGGAGTGTCCCTATAAGGAATGTCCCTCTCCAGAGAAAAGAAAATCCTTTGAGATGGAGCAGCTTCGGAATCCATATTAGATGGTGGCGATAGCATCTCAATTTGTATAATATATCATGATATCTCCAGCATACCCCCTTGTTACACTGGTGATCAAATGGATTAGCACCAAGATTTTCCACACTACTGTATATGTCCTATATATATTATATATATATATATTTGATTATATTTGTCCATTGGACATGTTTGGCTTATGTACCTACATGTCGCAAATTCCCCCAACGTATACATGCTGGGCGACATATGACAACCTGAACACGGCCTTACCGTAAATGACACTTGCTCAAGGGAATGATCCCAAGATGAACTTATTCTCTGTTTGGGAATTATATGGCTAAGCATTTTCCCAGATGTATCAAGATATATCCCGGTACTATGACTGTTGGTTCCCCAGAAAACCATCCCCGTGGCAATTTCCACTCTAGAACTGGTGAACCTGTGCATAGTTTAAACGATTTTTTAGGAATATTGAGGAATTTTAAAGGAATTATAAGGAAATTTAAGGAATTTAGAGAGTTTTAAGGAATTTTAAGGAATCTTAGAGGAATTTAAAGGAATTTGACGGAATTTGAAGGAATTTGGAGGATTTTTAAGGATCTTTAATGTTTTTAAATTTTAAAGGATATTTAAGGAATTTTCAGGATTTTTAAGGAATTTTAAGGAATTGCCACGAAAGAATGCCACCGTATTTTGTTGCTATAGAATGCAATATAAAAAAAAGAAAAGCACTTAATATTTGGGCACCTTCACTCTAAAATACCCCTATCTAAAAGAATTTCCTGACCCCTTTTTAAAGAGGCGTTTCTGAGAGTCTTCGAAATTGGATGAAGTTGGATGCAAATTCGGCAAGGCATTTTATTGCAGAACCAGTTTTGATTGTTTTTGTGCATTTTAAAGCCTGAGGCCCTATGCACAAAAGTTAGACCGCTCTAAAAATCCTGCACAGCTTCACATAATGAAATGGAACCCCGATAGAAAACCCATAATTACTTTGGATGATGATAAAATCCATGAAATATCCCCATGAAACTGGATGGAATATAGAAAGAAACTGAGTCATGTTGAGTGTTCAAGAGGATTTCATAGATTTGCCAGATAATCGTAGATATCGAATTTAAGTCAACCAGGGGATGCCAAACCACCAAGTAGGATTGGCCTCTAGGTCCATCATGTCACGCATCGTGGAGACTTTTGGAGGCCCACATGGTGGATGCCAGGGCCGTGGCTGTGTGGCGGAAGACTTGCCCAACATGGCATAGAAAAATGATTTTGTTTCACTAGTTCCATGAACTATCCCAACCAACATGTGGATTTTTGCATATTCTTACTATATTCATAGTATTCAAAAAATGATGACTTACCATGACTTACCCCTTTACAGCAACATGGGGACTCCGCGTTCGCAAACATTGGCGGGGTTGAAAACTTTGCCGAGCATTTTCTTAGAGCTGCAAGATCATCCTTGGCGCTCAAAACTTGAGGCACCCAGGTTTTGTCCTTTTCAGAAAGCACAGGCTTGTCTGAAAATCGGATACCCAAAATCCCATACTTGATCATCATTATGATTGTTATCAAGATACATATGATACATAAATGTCTGATTGGTGGTTTGGAACATTTTTTACTTTTCCATATATTGGGAATACTCATCCCAACTGACGAACTCATATTTTTCAGAGGGGTTTGGCCAACCACCAACCAGATGTTTTTCAGTGTATCGAAATTAGGTCAAATGGCCATTTGCACCCATTTTTTTGGGACCAAACACAGTAAATCATCCCTTCGTTTTTTTCGCAGATTTCCGCACCTTTTTGGAAAACGAAAAACGGTGGTCAAAAATTTGATGATCGCTACAAGGTCCGGGTTCCCTTTCAGGATAGCCGATTGTTGGTTTGTATAACTCCAATTTCACTAGGCTTTATGGTGAAGATAACTGAGATAACTGAGACTATATAGCCATTGGGAGTTGCTAAGTTATTGGGGGCGCCTTCTTGCGAAAGTGACCCATTTGGTTCGACGATTTGCCATCACCAGAGGGTCCCAGCTGGACATCTCAGGCCTTGTTTTGTGGCATTTTTGGTCGGTGAACCACCCAGAAAAAATCTGTTGATCAATAGTTTTTCAGACTATTGACATGATTATTATAATATAGTATAACATATAGTATAACATGACTATTGACTACAATATAGTATATAAAAGGTCAGAAAACACAAGCAGAAAAATCATATATTTACCTACTCTTTCTTCGGGATTTCCATGGGATTTCCATAGGACACTGGGGGATTAACTCGCTGGATTCAGACCCAAGGCGTCGTGGCGGAAATCCTGGGCGACGGTCTCTTGGTCTACTGGAACACGCCTTTGGATGTGGAGGCCGCTGGTGCTTCACCATGGGATATAACGGGATATATGTATATATTATATATATATATATATATATTATATTATATATTATTATATATATATATTATATTATATATACAGCATATTATATTAATATATAGTGAGAATAATTGGATGTTGATCATATAACATGACTACAGACTGTAGTCATGAGTGGGATGACATATAACTTCTAAGATCTTAGAACTATGATCATTTTATGTACACGGTGAGGGGCTTACCGAAATATCGCTAAGCTGAGGCACAGTTCACTTGGTGGACTGTTGGGTTTATCAACCAACTTGGAACTGGAGGCCTCACCCATGAATTGGGGGATGGTAATCAAGCCATTTTCATAGGGATTGGCTCGTACCCATTGTCAGGATCCCTATTCTGGGATGGGTGACCATACCGAAAATGGGGCGAAGGGCACCCACTTGATGGCCATCAAAGAAAATATCCCCACTTACCCAGTCATACCATTGTTGCAAACCCCAGTTGTGCATGATATAAATATATATATATACACATGGTATATCTATTTATTCTATCCTATCCTAACCTACCCTACCCTATCTCTATGTACAAAATACATAATGTGCATAAATACATCCGCACATATATCATATATATATATACATATATCCCCACGTCTTAACCTTGAATGAAGAGCTTTTTGGAACATTCCCGCAGGACCATGCTGTGAAAGCTTGCGCTGCCGCTGTGGCGATGCAACAGGCAGGGCAGAGGTTGGGGAGGTGTTTGTCACCCAGCCATTTGATGGGGATATATAGCACCCCCCCAATACGTAGATTGAGAAAGTTGGAACCCTGGAACATATGGAGCTAGACTAGTAAATGCTTTTGATAATGACACGGATTTCCGTACAAACAGAACTTTTATTACTGAAAATGAATCCGAATCATGGTCAGGGTTGCTCCACCCTGTTATACACCCATGAAATCCACCCTGGTGTCTGGGGTGTTGAGGGTAACCATCTTTGATGAGGATATCATATGGGATATGGGAGATACTCTCTGGTAATTTGACATAGCTATAGAGAATTCGTCATGTTTCACAGATAAATTAGGTGAATCATCATGAATCATCATGAATCATCTATAAATGGACCATTTTCCATAGCTACATTAAAGAATCAGAGGGTATAACCAGCAATCTGATATTTTGGGGCCCTTTTCTAATGATAGTTGTAGCCAATCTATTCGTGGCCAGCATGATTTTTTTGAAGCTACACGCAAGGCCTTTGATCTTGGAATCATCCCACTCCACAAAACAAATTGGGGATCCGGGGTAACACGCTGGTGCCCAAGTTATGTCTGTTGCTTGAAAGACTCATGTAACTAGTTCGATATGGGGATGGGTCGAAACCTCGGAACTTACCATATATGTGTGGCATAATCATCCAGCTTTTTGAAGCTATTTTGGGGTAGGGCAAGTTGGGTTTTGACTCCCTGCACCTCACGGCCATATATCTACCACAAACCCTAGTTAAACTCACTATATAACATGATATAACCAACCTAGCTAAGTAGGTGACACCACCTTCATCTATGTGTGCCGCTTACAAGCCAGAAGCATGCCAAATCGTCACTCTCCGGTGTTGAATCCGCATTTTCTACCCATGAAAAAATCCAACGAGTTGTTGATGGTTAAATCCTCATGAAGAGATATCTGGTTGGTGGTTTCAAACATGGCTTTTATGTTCCATAATACCCTCTGGTTATTTAACATAGCCATGGAAAATGGCCCATTTATAGATGGTTTACCTATTAAAAATGGTGATTTTCCATGGCTATGTTAAATAACCAGATGATATATGGGATGTCATCCTTCCCATTGACGAACTCCATCATTTTTCAAGATGGTAGGTATACCACCAACCAGGATATTGTTTTGTCAAAAACAGCCCCTTTTGTATCCAGTAATTGGTTAAATCACCATTATACCCATTAAATCCTCATTAAATCCCCATTATAATCCGTAGTTTTGTCTCCCTAACATTTCGCACCATGCTCATGAAGATCAGCGCGTTTACCACCCAATAGATCAGGTTAGGCAATTTTCTGCCGAAAAGGTAATTCCTTATCTTAGACCAAAAAAATAACTATTAGTTTATTTGTTCCTTACCTAAATTAGTCAATTTTTCTTGCCTTAACTAATTTTTTGCCTAACTTTCAACGAAAGTTTGCACGCAAACTTTCAACCCCCCCTCGCAAGTTTGCATGCAAACTTTCAACCTCCCCTCGCAAGTTTGCAGGCAAACTTTCAACCCCCCCTCGCAAGTTTGAGTGTAAACTTGCACCACCATTTGCATGCAAATGCTTGCGTGTGTGTCAAAGGGCGCAAATTTGCTTGCAAACTTTCAACCCCGCCTCGCAAGTTTTCGCGCAAACTTTCAACCCCCCCCTCGCAAGTTTGCACGCAAACTTTCAACCTCCCCTCGCAAGTTTGCATCCAAACTGTCAACCTCGTCTCGCAAGTTTGCATGCAAACTTTCAGCCCCGCCTCGCAAGTTTGCACGCAAACTTTCAACCCCACATGCCGAATTACCTTAAAATTAGGTTACATGTTTACCTCAAAAATTACCTAATTAGGTAGGAAATTACTTTACTTCGTGTGATCCCCACCCCACCATGACATTTATGCATTTTCTTACTGGCATATCTTCTGACATTCTTTCTGGCATTCTATCTGGCATATCTTCTGACATTTTTTTCTGGCACTCTATCTGGCATATATTCTGATATTCTTTCTGGCATATCTTCTGACATTCTTTCTGATCTTCTGACATTCTGTCTGACATATCTTCTGACATTCTTTCTGACATTCTTTCTGGCATTCTATCTGGCATATCTTCTGGCATTCTATCTGACATTCTATCTGGCATATCTTCTGACATTTTTTCTGGCATTCTATCTGGCATATCTTCTGACATTCTATCTGACATATCTTCTGACATTCTTTCTGGCATATCTTCTGACATTCTGTCTGGCATATCCTCTGACATTCTTTCTGACATTCTTTCTGGCATTCTATCCGGCATATCTTCTGACATTCTATCTGACATCTTTTCTGACATTCTTCCGTTGAGGTCCGGCAGTGCCTGCTGCGATCTGGAAGTCGCGGTTGAGGTCCGGCAGTGCCCACTGCGATCTGGAAGTCGCGGTTGAGGTCCGGCAGTGCCCACTGCGACCTGGAAGTCGCGGTTGAGGTCCGGCAGTGCCCACTGCGATCTGCAACTCGCGGTTGAGGTCCGGCAGTGCCCACTGGGATCTGGAGCTCGCGGTGGAGGTCCGCCTGTGCCCACTGGGATCTGGACTGCGAGGAGGAGGCGGCGGGTGAGGAGGCGGAGGAGGCAGAGGAGGCTGAGGCTGAGGAGGAGGAGGAGGAGAAGAGCTCTGTTAAAACCTAGCAACCCTCACCTGGCAGGTGGGGAATAAGGAATTAACTATTAGGCAGGAAATTGCCTAACCTGATCTTTTGGGCATGTGCGTTTCCGTGCATAGAGACGATCAGGTTCTGCCGTCTCAAGTGCGGCGGTTCAGGTCGAAATCGTGGCTGCAAGAATCATGAAAACAATGAAGTGACCTGGTTAATAATGCTTAATAATGGTTCATAATGCTTAATAATTGTTAAAAATCCTTAATGCTTCCTAATGGTCAATAATGGTTAATAATGCTTAATAATGGTTAATAAAGGTTAATTATGCTGACTAATGCTTAAACATGGTTGATAATAGTTAACGATTGTGATTAATGCTTAATAATGGTTAATAATGCTTAATGGTTAATAATGCTTAATGAAATACTTAATGATGCTTAATAATGCTTGAAAATGCTCAATAATGGTTAATAATGCTTAATAATGCTTAATAATGGTTGATAATGCTTAATTATGGCTAATAATGGTTAATAATGGATAATATTGCTTAATAATGGTTAATAATGGTTAATAAAGGTTAATTATGCTGAATAATGCTTAAAAATGGTTAATAATGGTTAATGATTGTTCATTGCTTAATAATGGTTAATAATACTTAATTATGCTAAATAATTGTTAATAATTGTTAATAATCCTTCATTATGCTTAATAATGGTTAATGATGGTCAATAATGCTTAATAATGGTTAAAATGCGTAATTATGCTTAATTATGCTTAAGAATGGATAATAATTGTTAATAATGGTTAATAATAAGGGTTAATATTGCTTAATAGTGGTTAATGATGGTTTATAATGGATAGACAATGGTTAATAATGGTTAATAATAATAAATAATGCTTAATAATGCCTAATAATGCTTAATAATGCTTAAAAATGTGTGAAAATTGGTCATCATGGTTAATAATTAATAATGGATAATAATGCTTAATAATGGTTAATAATGCTTAATAAAATAGTTAATAATGCTTAATAGTGCTTAAACAAATGTCAATAATGGTTAATAATGCTTAATAGTGCTTCCTAATGGTCAATAATGGTTAATAATGCTTAATAATGGTTAATAAAGGTTAATTATGCTGACTAATGCTTAAACATGGTTAATAATGCTTAATAACATACTTAAGAGTGCTTCAAAATGCTTAATAGCTGAATAATGCTTAATAATGCGTAATAATTGTTAACACTGGTTAATAATGGTTCATAATGCTTAATAATTGTTAATAATGCTTCAAAAAATGCTTAATTAATGCTTACTAATGTTTAATAATGCTTAATAATGGGTAATAATTGTTAATAATGGTTAATAATGGTTCATAATGCTTAATAATTGTTAATGTTTAATAAAAAAGCTTAATAATGCTTAATACTGGTTAAAAATGCGTAAGCATTGTTAATAATTGTTAGTATTGGTTCATAATGCTAAAAAATGCTTAATAATGCTTAATAATGGGTAATAATTGTTAATAATTGTGAATAATGGCTCATAATGCTTCATAATTGTTAATAATACTTAATAAAATGCTTAATAATGCTTAATAAGTCTTAATAATGGCTAATAATGCGTAATAATGGTTAATATTGCTTAATAATGCTTAATAATGGTTAATAATGCTGAATAAATGTTAATAATGCTTTATAACGCTTAATTATGCTTAATAATTCTTAATAACTGTCAATAATACTTAATCATGCTTAATAATGCTTAACACTGCTTCAAAATGCGTAATAATTGTTAATAATGCTTAATAATTGTTAATAATTATTAATAATTGTTAATAATCCTTAATTATGCTTAATAATGGTTAATGATGCTGAATAGTGCGTAATAATTGTTAATAATGGTTAATAATGGTTCATAATCCTTAATAATGGTTAATAATGCTTAATAAAATACTTAATAATGCTTAATAACGCGTAATGATGCTTAATAATGCGTAATAATGCTTCATAATGCTTAATCAAATACTTGATGATGCTTAATAATGCTTAAAAATACTCCATAATGGTTAATAATGCTTAATAATGCTTACTAATGGTTGATAATGCTTAATAATGGTTAATATCGGTTAATATTGCTTAATAATGGTTAATAGTGTTTAATAATGCTTAGTAAAATACTTAAAAATGCTTAATAATGCTGAACAATGATTAATAATGCATAATAATGCGTAATAATTGTTAACACTGGTTAATAATGGTTCATAATGCTTAATAATGGTTAATAATGCTTAATAAAATCCTTAATAATGCTTACTTATTCTTAATAATGCTTAATAATGGGTAATAATTGTTAATAATTGTGAATAATGGCTCATAATGCTTCATAATTGTTAATAATACTTAATAAAATGCTTAATAATGCTTAATAATGCGTGATAATTGTTAATAATGGTTAATAAGTTCATAATGCTTAAAAATGGTTAATAATGCTTAATACTGCTTAATAATGCTTAATAATGCTTAATAATGCTTAATACTGCTTAATGATGGGAAATAATTGTTAATAATTGTTAATAATGGTTCATAATGCTTAATAATGGTTAATAATGCTCAGGGAGACTGAGACCGAGGAAACATGAGAGTATTCAAAATACGTCCTGTTTGGACATCGCCGCCCTGTTCATTCGCCAGGGCTTTGGAACTTGGAACAGCTTGTTCCATCGACGCCAAACCCTCTGCTACCAGAGAACGGTGCAGCTCTGGTAGCACAACTGGCGCGGGCCTCAGCCCGCTAACCGCAAAATCAGAGAACGGCAAGGGCGACGGGCACCGACTTGCGCCAACCGAGGCGCAAGCCCTGGGTGTCTCCAAGGATGCAGTCCAAGCGTGGCTCCCCGAGCTGCACGCTTGGCTGCTCCTGAAGCCGGTGCATCCGGCCCTGGATGCGCCAACGGCCGAGGCCGATGAAACTAGATGAAACACACAAAAAGAAAAAACAACAGACAGTCAACGCTCCGCCGTGCAGGCAACACGGGTGGCACGGCAGGCAGAAAAACGGGCTGAGAAAAAACGGTTGGAGGAGGAGAAACAAGCAGAGGCTCGGCCGGCGGAAGAAGCTGTCCTGTCGCGAATGCAGCCAGCCAGCGGACACGGCGCCGCGGCAGGCGAAACGAAAGAGCCAAGCTGAGAAGAACAAAGCCCGCAACAAGAGGCGCAGAGAGTTGCGCCAAGAAGCACGCCAAAGCCAGGACCCTGAGGCGCGCGGGAAAATCGGGAGAGCCCGAGACGCCCGACGCGTCGCCGACGCAAACGCCAGGTCCGGCTCGCACGCGTGGCCGCCCTGGAGAAAGACAGGAAAAGGAAAGCCCAGAGCTCAGCTGCGCCCCCAAGAGAAAAAGAAAGAAAGCAAGGAAAGAAAGAAAAAGAAAGAAAGGAAAGAAAGAAAGAGAAAGAAAGAGAAAGAAAGAAAGAAAGAAAGAAAGAACGAAAAAAAGAAAGAAAGAAAGAAAGAAAGAACGAAAGAAAGAAAGAAAGAAGGAAAGAAAGAACGAAAGAAAGAAAGAAAGAAAAAAAGAACGAAAGAAAGAAAGAAAGAAGGAAAGAAAGAACGAAAGAAAGAAAGAAAGAAAAAAAGAAAAGAAAGAAAAGAAAGGAAGAAAAAAGAAAGAACGCAAAGGAAGCACGAAAAAAGAAGAATTTGGCGAGAGCTTGACGCATCACTAAGGCGGACAAGGGTAAAAAAGCTGGAGAAGACCAACACGCTTTCCCAGAGGCAGAGGCCCCCAGTCACTCCTTGCCTCCGGGCTGATTGGTCTTGTTCTGGCAGGTGCCAGCCCCACCGCCGCGGAGGCTACCCACGGTCTTCTCCTCAGTCAGACCGACTTCAACCAGACCGACGGAGAAAAAGGAAAGCACCTAAAAACAAAAACGTGGACAGATTGCTGACACGGAAGCATCACGCGATGGATAGAAATAGCAACGCCTCGTACATCCCGAGGACGAGGAAGTAGACGCCGAACTGGCTGTGCCGGGCTTAGCAATAGAGCGCTGGAAAGAGAGAGACAAGTAAGGAGAGAGAGAGAGAGAGAGAGAGAGAGAAAGAGAGAGAGAGAGAGAGACAGAGACAAAAACAGACCTCGACACAGACACACAAACAGCCGCCAAACGATCTGCGTATACGCAGCCAACCAACAATGCCAGGCCGAGTACGAGCGTCTACAGCAAAAGGAAGAGGCTTGCTCAATAAAATACCTAATAATGGTTACGTAATAATGCGTAATAACGGTTAATGATGGTTGATAATGCTTAATAATGGTCTTAATAATCGTTCATAATGCTTAATAATGGTTAATAATGCTTAATAATAATGCTCTTAATAATGCTTAATTATGCTTAATAATGGTTAGTAATGCTTAATAACATACTTAATAATGCTTAACAATGCTCTATAATGCTTAATAAGGCGTAATAATTGTTAATCATGGTTAATAATGGTTAATAATGCTTAATATTGGTAAATAATGGTTTATAATTGTTAACATGCTTAATTATGCTTAATAATGGTTAATAATGGTTAATAATTGTAAATAATGCTTAATAATGCTTAAGAATGCTTAATAATGATTAATGATTAATGGTTCATAATAGTTGATGATGATTGATACCCACTGGTAAACGTTTACAGTTTGCTAATATATTGAAGCCATGGCCATAAAAATATATAGTTGATTGGCTAATATTGGCTATAACATTGTGATTTTGCATAGTTACATATGTTTGTTTACCAGAGGGTCATGCGTGCAGTCCAAGTATGATTGTCAAATTGTCAATGTGGTTTTACTTGTTTCATCTCTTCAGGATTGACCTCTAGAGACTGATGAAATAGCTCTGACATGGTCTGACAACATGACGTAGTTGTGGCTCCATTGATACCCAAATTTGAGCCATTGACCTCCGCGGGCAAAACGGTGATAGTGCATCGAAGATCCTAAAATAAAGTGTCAGATCCAGTATGCTCCACTGAGGAGCGCATTATCACATTGGATTTTGACTGGAACCTGGAGAGTGATCTCAAAGACTCCCGGGGCCCGCTCTTCCTCGCCCGCATTGTCAAGCGCAGCTTGCAGAGGGTCACCCACAAGCTGCTGAACAAATTGGAAGGACTCGCAAACCATGTCCACTTTGTCCGTGGACTCGCTTCTCCTGCCGTGCGAGTGCAGCTGGGAATTTCCGACCTCAGTTCCATATCGTTCATCTCCATGCGCGTTGGCGACATGGAGCCCTTTGCCGATGAACTCGCGTGCTGGGTGCGTCTATGCACGGACCAAGCCGGCAACAAACAGGCCAAGGCTTGCAACGAGCCAGTCCTATACATATACATATATATATATACACGCAGCGACAACCCAACAAAAAAAGCAGCAATGCTTGGTGGAACAAGACATCCTTTTTTTTGGGGGGGGGTCCCCTGTGGTCCCCTGCCAGGCGCTTGGACCTTTAAACTACGAGATCACGGAATGCAAATTAGAACCGCTGAAAGCTACTTGGTGAGACGGGGCCCAGGCAGGGCTTGCCAGGAGACTCTGGAGATGAGCAGGACATGGCCACAGTAACCACTGTTCGAAAAGATGTTTTCCATGGCAGTTTCAGTGTCAAGATTTGTCAGTTTTGAGAACACAGATATCTCATATCATATAATCATATGTACCCTCCGGTGATAATGAGTATATCATAACAAAAACAGATGATCAACATATGATAAGTATTTATACATATATAATCATGTATAATCATAAGTACCCTCCGGTGTCATCAAACGTGGCTTGCTGGAACATGCTGGAACATCTCCCATTGGATGATATTCTGAGCAACAAAAACCTTGGACGCCAGAGTTGTTGGGCAGATGATGAGAGGTACTTTTTATTGATGGGATTAAAGTCACATATATTTATATTTTTATATAGCACCATATACTGTAACAAGTACATTAAGTCATATTGAGTCTACAATCGTTATTTTTATTGTTTTTTAATTGCCATGTTGAGACTTACGGTTTTTGTTCTGTGATTTCTTCAGAAACATAGCAATGGAAAATCATCAATTTGCCAGGTGGGCAGTCTCAAACAACGGCTGGTTGATGATTAGTTCGGGGTGATACTACCCTTTATATACTGGCGATGATCGTACTTCTTGAGCTGCTTCCCATGTCATTTTTGGCACAGGTTAGAATTACAGAGTGTCCTTTGATGGACTATGGACTTAGTTCAATGGTGAGTAATTAAGTGGCTTGCACCAACTGTTACAAGTCATTGAAACTGGGTTTAAACTGGGCTATCCCACTTGCTGTATGTAAATACTTCATCTACGATTCACAATATTCACAAATATTCATGTATTGCGGTTGTAGCCCTTAACAGTTATAACTGGCTTATTTTATGGTACGGAGTCAACTAGTTGCAGGAGTTATAATCCTAATTAAAAGGCCAAATAAATAAGGGCCATAACTGTGATATAAACTGATGTTTGAAACAAGCAATAATCAACCACCCATATGGACAGATGCTTTATACCAAGCGTCCATTTATATCTATGCTACAATTGGAGATGGTGGATCCGTGGATATTGCTTTACCAACATTAAGTATAACTGATATATCTATAGGAATTTAGTACTTTACTATTAACATTTACTATTAACATTTACTATTAACATTTACTATTAACATTTACTCTTACTAACATGAACTGATATATCTTTACTATTAACATGTACTCTTACTAACATGAACTTGATGGATTTCCTGTAGATTTTCCCTTGAACCAATCCAATGGTCATGGCTCATTGCCAGCTATGGCCCGTCCTGCCCGTGGCCAAGGTCCGGATAGGCGTGAATACGGGGGAAGTTCTCTCGGGAACCTTTGGGAGCGACCTGATCCTTGGTTTGACAAACGCCTCTGTGGTTTAACAATGAAGAGTCACGTATACTTCAATAGATCTATAGTTACTATATATATATAGTTATACAGACATCATATGGCTAATAATTAATGTGGTTTAGTTTGAATAAGAATAAATGATGATGATAGAAATGGAATGATATGGATATACTATGATATAATGTGATTTAATGAGCCATAATCCATTCTAGGTACCCTAAGGTAAACATAGGAAAAGATGTGGAAGATGCCATGGTTTCCCCTTTGGTCCGCAAGCAACGAGCTCCCAAAGGTGTACCTTGATTTGGCAATGAAGTGACTCATGCCATTCATATCGGCAATGGCCAACAAATGGATGATCCATGAAACGCCCATGAAGATTGGCAAATGGCTGTGTCTCATTGTTTTTCAACATGGGGAAACCCAAACTCATCCAGTAAATTGTTCGTATTTATAGATAGGGGAACCATTTCAAGGGTTAATACCCAAATGCATGATGTATGGAATATCCCACCTTAAAAAAAACACCATAAAACATAATGATTACTGGAATATAATGAAATATGATATCATACAATATTGCATTATATTAAAGATCATCGAACAACTTTTGAGATATAATGCAAATGATGTTCATTGCACCGGACCTAAATCATGTTTACATATACAGATACCGTGCATAGAAGAACCCCCAGTATCTCCCATTGGTAGATGGTTCCCTTCAAAAATCCCTGGTTTTTGGCCGTGTTTCCCAACGCAAATCATTCCCAACGCAGGATGCAACGCCACCATCCCACAGTCCCACAGTGATTCTGATCTCAGGAAGATGAAGTTCGGCTGCATGGGTGACCCTGTAAACCTGGCCAGCCGCCTGGAAGGACTCTGCAAGGCGGGTTTTGGCCATGGGGGTTGATCGGATTTTTTTTAAATGGAAAGCATATCATGGGTGGGGTTTAATGATATTTTTTTAATGGAAATTAATGGGTGAGATTTATATCATGGGAATTTTCATGGGATGTTGAACGGGGCTTGATGGGAATTTCATGGGAAACTATGGGACACATCATGGGATTTTCATGTGAGTAAACAAGAAATCATAGAGGTGTTTCATGGGAATTGAAGTATCATAGGATTGTCATTGATGAATATTGATGAATAGTGGTTGGTTGAAGATTACGGGGGACTGAGTGGTTCAGTGGACTATCATTAGCCATAATTGGGATACCTGCTAACCAACCGGTATAGGGATGGAATGGGGGTATGTTTCATGGCTCAATTGGAAACTGCGAATTTTTGGTGATTCTTCTCTGGCTATTTCACAGTTTCCAGCTGTGTTGCACCAACATGTCCATATTTTTTTTGCTGGTAAGATATATAATTGTTTTTGTTGGCATTTCAACCAGACAAACATATTTAAATTTTGCGGGCGACACTGTTTAATTAAGGAAGAAACACGCGCGACTTTCTCTGGATTTCAGCTGGAACACACAGAAGCTATTAAGGAAGAATCAAATGTGATGAATGTTTGTTCGGGATTTCGGATTTCGCATAAGAAAACAATGTTCTTGTTTTTGTTCGGGATTTCGCACGCATCCCACGCGAAGCCTGCGCCCCTTCGGACAACGACAAAGCCTCTTTGGAGACCTTGTTTGAGCGGTGCCCCCAATCCTCAGTTTCACTCGGGTTTGTGGTAGACATATCGAACTAGTTCAGGGTTGCTCCAGCCCACTATAAATGATAGCCACAAGGCGGGGGAAACATGAACCATTTTACCACTTCTTTTTCGCCAATTTACCGTCCAGATGTACCTGGGATGTCGGGAGCAACCCTGTATTTGGATGGCTTTATACTGTAAACCAACAAAGAAAACTGACAAACATCACCGCAAAATTCCGCAGGTCTATGATGCGGGCATCATTGTTTCTGGAACCACCTATGAAACTTGGCACCTTTTGGCACCTGGGGCGATTTCTGCGTATGCAGATCGCATTTCCGCTTCATTCGTTTTGCTTTGTCGGCTTATTTTAGTTCTAGCCGATTCTAGCACTCAACACTTATAAGTGTCTTCTTTCAGGATAATATATATATATACATTATATATGTATATATAACCAACTAACCAACTATAGCTACAGGAATTATTTCATCCCATGGAAGGCCCATTGGTAAGGGCCATGTCGTTAATTTTAGGAAACAATGCGCGGATCGCTTACAGAAGGACGGTAATGTGGCGCTCCCCAAGGAGACCCAGCCACTTTTTGAGCCGTGAAAAATGCTGGTGCGCCAGAATAGCCACGTGGGTTGATTGGTGAACTAGGACTTTTGCTGGATATAGCTACATATAGATATGTATAGATATGTATATATAGATATGTATAGATATGTATATATAGATATGCATATGTATATACATATACATATATACATATATACATATATACATATATATATAGAGATATATAAAGTTAGATCATGTTAGATCTAGTTTAGGCATGTGGGGTTAGCCAACTTCTGGTCACCACCTTGTCCCTTTGATTTGTCTTAAAAATTACCCTCTGGTAAACAAGCATAGCTATAGAACATGGCAATAGAAATAGTTGATTGACCTATTAAAGATGATTATTTTCCATAGTTATGTCAGTTTACCAGAGGGTATTGGTTTATTGGGTTAATGGTTTTACAATTCGTTATTTAATGACTCAAAAGCCATGTTGGTTGGTTTATTGGTATAATTGTCATTAAATAACGGGATACCAATTTACGTTTTTGATGCGATTGATAACGGGGTATTTTTCAAACGGCTCTTTTGCGGAGTTATGACTGTTATGAAGGAGGTTGCTGGTGTGGTGATTCCGGGATGGTGCCAAGCGGGCTATGTCTTCAATCAACGGTGAATTTTCAGCTTTGGCCTATCATGGCATGAGGACTCTATCGCCAACTCCGGCTTTATTTGCAGAAAGTTGGACCTGGTTCAGGCGCTGGAAGTCTGCCAAAGGTGTGTTTTTTTCTTTTATGATTTCCTCTTTCTTTATGGTGCTTGATCATCGGTTTCCGTATTGAATTGGCCATAAATTTGACACACCCAGATGTTGTTGGCCCAAACAACTTCCAACATTCCTGTATCCCCCGCCATTTTTTTGCCGGCAGGAGATGTTGTTTTTTGGTCCGAAAAAGAAAAACACGGACGAATCCCTAAGTTCTTCAGCCAATGTTTTCCAGGTTCATCCTTTGGAATCAGACCACGCCATAGCCATCAGATTTGTTTTACATAGAGAAATCAATTACTTTCATTGGATAAATATTTCCAGCACACTTGGTTAGATTACCCAAGGGTAATTGGGTAATTCCAGTTTTACTTGTGCAAATCCTTTATTTTTATATTAGACCACAAGAAAAGTCACCTTGTTTCCTAGTGATTTCTCCCTTGGTGAACCCATCAGAAAAGACATAATTCATCATAATTCCAATAAACTCCCTATCTTTTCCTGCTGGTTTCTCCCAATGTTTAATGGTTAAACCAGAAGCAGGCAAACGGCCGCCAGGTGAAGGGACGAAAAGAACCTGTGATGGTCTACGAGGCGACGCGCCGGTCAGGAAATCCACCATCAAACATGTTATCTTTTTCAGAGGAAAACATCGAACTATTTTGCTGGTTGGTGGTTTGGAACATTTTATATTTTTCCATATGTTTGGAAGAATCATCCCAACTGAGTAATATTTTTCAGAGGGGTTGAAACCACCAACCAGTTTGTTTTTTCCTATAGTAATGTTACATTACCGGAATGTATGTGCTTTTGACCCACAAAACTTGATATTTTTTAGGATATATGTGGGTAACTATTCATAAATACATATGCCATACGTGTAGAGAACAGGTCGAGTTTTGTCCTCAAAACCAACTTTTTTTTATCGGAGAAAAACATGAGGATTCAACATTTTGTTTGTCGATTCTTCCCTGAAAACCCTACAAATTTCCGGAAAGAAGGATGAACAACTATACATTCAAGCAAAAAAGCATGGATTTAAGATGACTTAAGATGAGTTAAGCCATAAGAATCGAGATTTATCATCATTCCAAGCTGTTGTTGTCAGGTGATGGGTTGCGATCTTGCGTGTCCGGGCACCCAGCTATGTTGAGAAACGGTGCGCCCCTTTGGTATCTGACCGGGGTGCCGCCCAGTTCTAGATTCACCATAAACTCTACTTGACATATATATATATACTGGTTGGTGGTTTGGAACATTTTTTCCCATTTCATATATGGGATGTCATCCTTCCCATTGACGAACTCATATTTTTCAAGATGGTTATCCTCTGGTAAACTAACATAGCTATTGAAAATGACCATTTATAGTTGATTTACCCATTAAAAATTGTGATTTTCCATAGTTACGTTAGTTTACCAGAGGGTAAACCACCAACCAGCATATATACCTGACCTATAAACCAACTTCGAAGGCATTCTGACAAGATCCCGCAAGATGATATGAGAACAGTGCTGGACATTCAACATAGAGGTGGCGGCTCGTCTGCCAGGGCTGCAAAAACACTGAGGAATTGCTTGGCATGGCCATTGACGGGATTTCTATAATAGACTCAATATCTATCTATAGTTAAGATAGTGATATTTATCTATATTGAACTTATAAGTTGGTTGATAGCTTACTCCACAAAACAATGGCCTAAATTTTCAGGGTCAAACTGTTAATTTATGTGAGGGTAACCTATAGACATATTATAATACAGATAATTTATAGATACTTTGTATTTATATGTATATATATAATCTCCATGGCATACATAGAATACAGAATCGATAATTTCGGCCTCCAAAAGCATCTTCCGGAATCGGTCAAAAAAACCTATACATAGAATAAAAGCATCTTCCGGAATCGAAAAAAAAACCTATACATAGAATATTTCCGGCTATCCATTTTGATCCAGGAAAATATGTTTTCTCAGGTTTTGCTGGATTGCTGCAGCCGCCTGTTATTCAAACCCGTCCCGCAAAGGGACCAATTTCTTTTTATATTGTATTTTAAAAATGAACTTTTCAGGTTCACCGAAGGGTACCCCCCACGACTGGTGTTGTAGAACTTTGTAGAACTATGAAAAAACATATTTTGCAATGAAAACCAATGGAATTGGGTGGTGATCCTCAAGAAATTGATGAATATGTTCACTGGGGACCTATATTCTATGTATGTAGTTCTGCAAGGAATTGGGTCTCTTTCATGTATAAAGGCCTTATAAGGGTATACATTATATACGTAATTCCCTTTGGGGAGTAGCAACCCGGGATGTCTGAAGTTCCTCAACTAGAACATTTCAACAAAAAAAACGGGCACCCCGAAATGATCAATTTCTTTTTATATTGTATTTAAGAAATGAACTTTTCAGGCTCACCGAAGGGTACCCCCACGACTGGTGTCATAGAACTATGAAAAAACATATTTTGCAATGAAAACCAATGGAATTGGGTGGTGATCCTCAAGAAATTGATGAATATGTTCACTGGGGACCTATATTCTATGTATGTAGTTCTGCAAGGAATTGGGTCGCTTTCATGTATAAGGGTATATATCATATCCGTAATTCCCTTTGGGGAGTAGCAACCCTGGATGTCTGAAGTTCCTAAACTACAACGTTTCAACAAAAAAACAGGTCACCCGAAATGACCAATTTCTTTTTATATTGTATTAAAAAAATGAGTTTTTCAGGCTCACCGAAGGGTACCCCCCACGACTGGTGTCGTAGAACTATGACAAAAAAACTATTTTGCAATGAAAACCAATCGAATTGGGTGGTGTTCCTCAAAAATCTCAAAAAATTGATGAATATTTTCACTTGGGACCTATATTCTATGTATGTAGTTCTGCAAGGAATTGGGTCTCTTTCATGTATAAAGGCCTTATAAGGGTATACATTATATACGTAATTCCCTTTGGGGAGTAGCAACCCGGGATGTCTGAAGTTCCTCAACTAGAACATTTCAACAAAAAAAACGGGCACCCCGAAATGATCAATTTCTTTTTATATTGTATTTAAAAAATGAACTTTTCAGGCTCACCGAAGGGTACCCCCACGACTGGTGTCATAGAACTATGAAAAAAACTATTTTGCAATGAAAACCAATGGAATTCGGTGGTGATCCTCAAAAAAATGATGAATATGGTCACTGGGGACCTATATTCTATGTATGTAGTTCTGCAAGGAATTGGGTCTCTTTCATGTATGAGGGTATATATCATATATGTAATTCCCTTTGGGGAGTAGCAACCCTGGATGTCTGAAGTTCCTAAACTACAACGTTTCAACAAAAAAACAGGTCACCCGAAATGACCAATTTCTTTTTATATTGTATTTAAAAAATGAGTTTTTCAGGCTCACCGAAGGGTACCCCACACGACTGGTGTCGTAGAACTATGAAAAAAAAACTATTTTGCAATGAAAACCAATGGAATTGGGTGGTGTTCCTCAAAAAATTGATGAATATTTTCACTCGGGGACCTATATTCTATGTATGTAGTTCTGCAAGGAATTGGGTCTCTTTCATGGATAAGGGTATATATCATATATGTAATTCCCTTTGGGGAGTAGCAACCCTGGATGTCTGAAGTTCCTAAACTACAACGTTTCAACAAAAAAACAGGTCACCCGAAATGACCAATTTCTTTTTATATTGTATTAAAAAAATGAGTTTTTCAGGCTCACCGAAGGGTACCCCCCACGACTGGTGTCGTAGAACTATGAAAAAAAAGTATTTTGCAATGAAAACCAATGGAATTCGGTGGTGATCCTCAAAAAAATGATTGATATGTTCACTGGGGACCTATATTCTATGTATGTAGTTCTGCAAGGAATTGGGTCTCTTTCATGTATAAGGGTATATATCATATATGTAATTCCCTTTGGGGAGTAGCAACCCTGGATGTCTGAAGTTCCTAAACTACAACGTTTCAACAAAAAAACAGGTCACCCGAAATGACCAATTTCTTTTTATATTGTATAAAAAAAATGAGTTTTTCAGGCTCACCGAAGGGTACCCCCCACGACTGGTGTCGTAGAACTATGAAAACAAAAAGTATTTTGCAGTGAAAACCAATGGAATTCGGTGGTGATCCTCAAAAAATTGATGAATATATTTTCACTGGGGACCTATATTCTATGTATGTAGTTCTGCAAGGAATTGGGTCTCTTCCATGTATAAGGGTATATATCATATCCGTAATTCCCTTTGGCAAGTAGCAACCCTGGATGTCTGAAGTTCCTAAACTACAACGTTTCAACAAAAAAACAGGTCACCCGAAATGACCAATTTCTTTTTATATTGTATTAAAAAAATGAGTTTTTCAGGCTCACCGAAGGGTACCCCCCACGACTGGTGTCGTAGAACTATGACAAAAAAACTATTTTGCAATGAAAACCAATGGAATTGGGTGGTGTTCCTCAAAAAAATGATGAATATTTTCACTTGGGACCTATATTCTATGTATGTAGTTCTGCAAGGAATTGGGTCTCTTTCATGTATAAAGGCCTTATAAGGGTATACATTATATACGTAATTCCCTTTGGGGAGTAGCAACCCTGGATGTCTGAAGTTCCTCAACTAGAACATTTCAACAAAAAAAACGGGCACCCCGAAATGATCAATTTCTTTTTATATTGTATTAAAAAAATGAGTTTTTCAGGCTCACCGAAGGGTACCCTCCACGACTGGTGTCGTAGAACTATGAAAAAAGAACTATTTTGCAATGAAAACCAATGGAATTCGGTGGTGATCCTCAAAAAAATGATTAATATGTTCACTGGGGACCTATATTCTATGTATGTAGTTCTGCAAGGAATTGGGTCTCTTCCATGTATAAGGGTATATATCATATCCGTAATTCCCTTTGGCAAGTAGCAACCCTGGATGTCTGAAGTTCCTAAACTACAACGTTTCAACAAAAAACAGGTCCCCCGAAATGACCAATTTCTTTTTATATTGTATTAAAAAAATGAGTTTTTCAGGCTCACCGAAGGGTACCCCCCACGACTGGTGTCGTAGAACTATGACAAAAAAACTATTTTGCGATGAAAACCAATGGAATTGGGTGGTGTTCCTCAAAAAATTGATGAATATTTTCACTTGGGACCTATATTCTATGTATGTAGTTCTGCAAGGAATTTGGTCTCTTCCATGTATAAGGGTATATATCATATCCGTAATTCCCTTTGGCAAGTAGCAACCCTGGATGTCTGAAGTTCCTAAAGTACAACGTTTCAACAAAAAAACAGGTCCCCCGAAATGACCAATTTCTTTTTATATTGTATTAAAAAAATGAGTTTTTCAGGCTCACCGAAGGGTACCCCCCACGACTGGTGACGTACACGCATTTTAATGCAAAGAGGGTGTTCGCTTGTATTCTCTTCTGTTCCTGACCTTGCTTTTCTTTTTCCTTTGATGCTTATGCATTTGTCGGTACAATGATTGCCTTAAATTTGGCAATCGTGATCCAAAACTTACGCAGAACCCAAAAAATGTTCAATCTGCTGGGTTTCACACATGTTTTCGATATGGGAACATCGTTATTCCTATGGTATTTGCTTTGGCACTGTTTATGCACTCCAAAATTCTACCCCAAATATTTCTACCCCAAATATTCTAAGTATTTTTTTTTCCGTCCACACCCGTAGGGTTGAAATCGGGCATATTCTATGTATCCCATCGGGATTATATATATATATACGTATATACATATATATACGTATATATATATATATGTACATTGGATACTCATGTTATGACACATTTCCCATTAAACTGAGGTGATCCGTGTCCCTTCCTCCATGAAATGACTGCAGATGACTCCCAAAGCTCCTCGCCCAGGCGCGGCCGAACGGAGATTTTTATGGGACAATTCCGTACTAAAATGTAGGTTTCAATGGGTGTCATTTAGCGTTGAAACCTACATGTTCCATGAAAATAGAGTCGTTTTCATGAAACCTCCAATTCCATTTCACTGGGACTTTTTCCTCTAAAATAGAGTTTTTCATGGAAATGGTATTTATACATATCATTTTGCATTGCCATGTTTGATTTGAGGGTAAGCCAGGTGGAAAACGTTCCCTCCTCTAAATTTATCTTATTTTCTATAGATGTAATTAGGGGGTACCCCTAAAATAGTAGGTACCAGGATTAGTAAACCATCACTTAGACTAGCAATCTATCAGTCCCAATTAATTTTCATTTGTAAACATACTAATCCCGGGTTGATAGGTCTGAAGTAAAGCTACAGCATATGTTCAAATGGCTCCAGCGATTCATGATTGGGTTTGATCGGGATCATGATAGATGTTTTCGTAGAACTATATAAACATATTTTGCTAGTAAAGCGACTTTTTTGGGCAACCCCAAAATAATAGATAGGATAGAACAAAATGAACAACTGGAAATATGAGGTAAATATCATCTATACTAAATATCAAAACTAAATAAAACTAAGCCATGATATCTCATTGGATTCAACATTAGCCCGAGAGCAATCATGTTCTCCATGCGTGAAAAGAACTCCGTGCGTTATACAACAGGTATGTACCCCCTGAATCTAACAATATGGACCATTATACATAGCTCTCAAAATTACCACAAGGCTACATTGCAATGGCATTTTTGCTCCCTTTCATATGTGGGTGTTAAGCAAATCTGGCGAATAAAGCAGTATATAAATCCACGAATTTGCTCTTACCATAAGCTAAGGATCAGGAGAGATTTACATAACTGTAAACCCAGAAATTCCTTGATGTACGGATGCTTTGGGACCCTGGGATTGAGAGATGCCTTATACCACCGACCTTGCCTCGCGTCTGGAACACTTCAGGGTATCACAGTGAGCACCTGGTGAGTGTTTCGGGCTCCCGAATCTGATGGTTCGTCATCACCGTCCCCCAATTTTAGCATCGGCGATGGTAACCATAAAATATGGATAGTTCATGATCGCTTTGCTCAAATTACATGGTCATTTAGGGGGCATATCTGAGTGCCCCCCAGTTGAAAATGCAGTGCAGACTGGAACCCATAGATCTGAGCGACTCAAAGTGCTGCTCTGGTCCCATAGATCACAGTTGGAAGGGAATGCATCCCGCGAAATAGATGTACCTAGCTAGATATGGTGTATTTTCATGTATTTTCATGAGTCTAGTAATCTGATAAATCCCGGGATGGGGGTCAAAAAAAAGTCTAGATCAAAAAGTAACTATTCTGGATCCCTCACTGACAAATCCTTTGGTATTGTTTTGAACTGGTTTCAAGACCCCACATGGTAAGTCATTTCCATGGCATGACGTGATGAGACTTGCCCATGACTTGCCCATTTTGTTGATGACGGAGTTAAGTCATGGACATCACTGCCATGTCTTGAAACCATTTTAAATCTATTAATGTGGTAAAAACAATCAGAAACCATCCATTTGGGAATGGTTTATACCACCTAGAAAGGTTTACCGCGCTAGGAAAGGCGATTCGATGGTCAGCAAGACCTTCAGCAGGCGAATGGGCTCCGAGAAATTGGGGATGTTTCAGCATGCAATCCCATGGCCCAGGGAAATCTCCCTCAGAAATCAAGGTTTCATATTGGATTTATCATGTTGGGCCCAGTTGGGTGATATTTTTCATCTTAGGAAGTGATCAAAATTGAGACTGTGCCGACTCCGCCTGCAAACTTGTGTCATAGCAGCAAACAGTGGATTCAAGCAGCCAAAAAAATGGATTAAACAGCTACAGTAGCTCAAGAAGAACAGCGGCAAAGATATGTGGACATCAGCCAACGAAATAGGTTGTTGGTGAAGATTCAAGACGTATGGATCCATCGAATCATCGACTGGTTGGTCAGTTTTATCACCTCGGCCTAGTTGTTGGCGCCCAAGTCTCAGTCCGACATGATCGTGGAACATGACCATGTCCAAGCCAAAAATGAAGAAATGGGCAATGTTCCCTTGCCATGTTCGTTTATCAGAGTGAATGTTCCAAAATTTCGAAAACCAACCTCTGAAACCTATTGACAAGTTGTTGATCCATGTCGGATTTGGGGTGTCAGTTTGGGAAGACCCAGTCGGATTTTCCACTTCATGTGGTAAAGCATTAAAAAATCTAAACCGCGTTCATTGTTGATTTCACACCATCCATTCCTGGACATATTTGGGATGTGTTATACTCTGGGGTTTACCACATTGCGGTGTTCAAAACATAGGCCGACTTATGCCTTTGGAGGTGGCTCCGAGTCCACGCAACGATGCCAGAGGGGGTACCCTTTGATAAAGTCCATTTATATAGGTCGTTGATTTACCGATCAAGATTGGTAATTGTCCTGAATGTTAGTTTACCGGAGGGAAAAAACAGTATCATTATTGATCCATCCGGTAGTCAGATACATCAATGAACCAACTGACTCTAACTGACTCTGCGACCAGGGACAGCAAAGAAAGCAGGACCTGATTTTCGCGTCTGCGAAGCCGAAGAGGGATCCCAATAATCCCCAAAAATGGCAACCTGGAAGACTTTTTGCAGTTTGGTGTTTATTTCAGGGGCACTTGGCTTCATGTTGTGTATTCGTTTGGCAAAGTTTTTGTTGGTAATCATGACAGCTCCAATTTCACTATGCTTATTAGCCAATTCCAAAGTGGAATGGTCCTCCAGGTAGATTACAGTACATCCATGTGGATCGACTATACTGCATCCACATAGTACTCTAGTATACTCCAGTATTGTCCAAAACAAACCATTAGAAAACACTCAGGATCTATGGGTTGGGGAACCTTCAAGCTTCAACCATGCTTTATGATGGTTGATTCACCATAGTATTAAAGTGGGAGTATATATATCCTCCAAGTACCCCGTTATTAGATTTTCAAAGGAAGGTTTAGGTAAAAAAACTTCCGAGTTACGGACGATGGCCACGGTTAGCATTCACACCATCATGTCAACAACATCATCATGTCAACCACCCATCATCCAGTTGTTGGGAAGTGCAAGAGTTTGGGAGCGTGTCACGGGTGAAAAACAATCTCGTGCGCGAAACCCTGTGTTTTTACGGGTATGGTGGGTGGCTCCTGGGGTCGCCGAAGTGGGGTCTTTGTTTCCGCAGGTCCGCAGGTCCGCGGCTCCATCTTGGAGCGTCAGGTTGGAGCGTCAGGTGTGGATGCTGAGTGAATGTTGGTCGATTCGGTGCGAGGTTCCTGCCTTGCGGGTTTGCAACCGTCTGTGACAAAACGCGATGGCACGGATACTCTCTAGGGAACAAACGTATCCACTTTTTTTGTGGAAAAAAAGTTTTTTTGGATACGTTAGCTGCTGTGAACATAGGCTATGATACATGCCCTATACTTGAGACATGTTAGTTGAATATCCAGAATGGACATGTTAGTGGAAAAGTTGTCCCCCCCTCTGGGGGTTCTGCCAGAAGACTACCGCCCCGGACGCCCCAGCATCCTTATTTCCAGACCCCAATAGGGCTCAAATCAAAGACTGCATTGATAACAAAACGGTGGAGAAAAAAGGGGTCCCAACTCCTTCCGGAAGAGCGCATCATAGATGATGCTCGTGGGTGGGCAGGAAGATTGGGGGTGCATTCCAAAAACCAGTTGCATTTACTAAGGGTTGGATGACTGGCCATGGAAAGCGTCCACCTAACGTGTCCGTGTTGTTCAGAGGATGTGGTTTTGAGATATGTGAGTGGTCATTGGCTGAATCTATCCCCCAAAAATAGCGAACATATCCCAGATCAGGGTCGAAATCCAAGGGCCCCAATTGCAGGAACTGAGACATGTTAGCTGTTTTTGGGTCAATGGTCCCAAAAAAAGTTGCAATGCATTCCCCAGGAAATCCAGGAAAACGCCGGCACAAAGTGGACATGTTAGTTGATACCTGAAACGGTAGCCCGAGACACGTATCCACTTTTTTTGTTGTTTTTTTTTGGGATACGTTAGCTGCGTGAACATAGGCTATGATAAATGCCCTATACTTGAGACGTGTTAGCTGAAAATCCAGAATGGACATGTTAGTGGAAAAGTTGTCCCCCCCTCTGGGGGTTCCCGGGCAACTGCCAGAAGACTACCGCCCCGGACGCCCCAGCATCCTTATTTCCAGACCCCAATAGGGCTCAAATCAAAGACCGCATTGATAACAAAACGGTGGAGAAAAAAGGGGTCCCATCTCCTTCTGGAAGAGCGCATCATAGATTATGCTCGTGGGTGGGCAGGAAGATTGGGGGTGCATTCCAAAAACCAGTTGCATTTACTAAGGGTTGGATGACTAGCCATGGAAAGCATCCACCTAACGTGTCCGTGTTGTTCAGAGGATGTGGTTTTGAGATATGTGAGTGGTTATTCGCTGAATCTATCCCCCAAAAATAGCGAACATATCCCAGATCAGGGTCGAAATCCAAAGGCCCCAATTGCAGGAACTGAGACATGTTAGCTGTTTTTGGGTCAATGGTCCCAAAAAAAGTTGCAATGCATTCCCCAGGAAAACGCCAGTACAGAGTGGACATGTTAGTTGATACCTGAAACGGTAGCCCGAGACACGTTTGTTCCCGGGAGTGTACGCGCAGGAAAGCGTTATATATATATATATGCTGGAACGCTGCTGCTGTGCGAGATTGCAGCCGGAGGTTGCTAAACGCAATGTAGAAGATGCGCGAAAGGTAGTTTCTGAGCACATGCAGTGCCACCACTCCCGTGCTATGCGGGAAGCTGGAGGTTGCAAAACGCACTGTGCTGGCTGCGCGAAGAGAAGACTTGTGTTGCAGAAGCTGCAGCTGCAGAAGAGGTAGGTGGGATGCAGCTCAGACCAGAAGCAGCGCAGATAAGAGGCTACTCAGAGAAGAAGTAGCTGAGAGAAGAGATGCCTCAGCGAAGAGGTCGCTTAGTGAAGAAGTAGCTC